GTCACGTTCCAACATTACTTGTAAAACGAGGGTAAGAACACTGATAACCCATAGAAGGGGACTTATAGCCCCACTTATAACTACCCATTAACCTCCAAGGAGTCTTTACTTGTAGTAAACCCTAAACCCTGAACCCTAAACCCTAACCCTAAACCCTGAACCCTAAACCCTGAACCCTAAACCCTAAACCCTGAGCCCTAAAAACCAGGTGCAGCGCCTTTGTCTCGGCTTGGCTGGCGAATCGTCGCAAGGCGCATGCAAGACGGAGGGGGTTTAAACTTCGGGTTTAGGGTTTAGGAGTTTAGGGTTTAGGGTTTAGGAGTTTAGGGTTTAGGGTTTAGGGTCTACCCATAGGCCCCAAAGTAGTTCCTTTTTGGGATTCCCTTATAGGTTTCTATAGATGAACACCAAAAAGGAACGACTATGGGGGCTTGGGGTAGGGTCTAGGGTTTAGGGTCAACTTCGTTTCCAAAACTCGACCTTTAACACCTTTCGGTTTGTCATACGCTTGAACCCTAAGCCCCACCAAAATACACCGATAACTCTTAAACCACTAGCCATTGAGCACTGTAGTTATTACTTGTAGGATCTTGGAGTATAGCTCGGGAAGATGGCGCGGTGGAGTCCAGCACTCTAAAGCCTGAGCCTGTGAAACTCAAAGCTGGCATCCCACTGTCAAGCTGTTCTCGTAGACCCGCCGTACTACCCTAAGTACTGGCAAACCTAGACCCCTGAACCTGAGATGCCAACAGCTAGCTTTAGTGAACCCTCGAGCCTCAACCCTCATGCGAACTATAAGCCCTCCAGAATAGCATAAACACCATGAGCGCTAAACCCTAAAGCCCGAAACCTTGAAGCCAATGTCAGGCCCATCGCCCTGCTTGATGGAGGAAGCATCGACTGCCTTGACGGTGATCTCGCGAAGAGACGAAGGCCAGGGGCCTCAGTGTTGTATCCACCGTGGAAGCCTAAATAATTACCGATAACATCCCTTAGAGCTTCTCATTATCAGTTAGTTCCTTTAAAGGAGCCCCAAACCCCATTCTCATTATTGAGGCCCCTGGACTACATGAAGCTCTTCATCCAAAACCCTGAACCCTCGAAAGCGTCATGGCCAAACCTTACGTCCTAAACCCTTCATTTGGGGGCCTTAACACTTACCTCTACTATTTTGGGGGGTTCCCTGCATTGGTTTAGTATAATGGGCCCCAAAACCCTATCTTAATCATTAAGGCCCCTGTGTCCCTATGTTAACCTCCCACACCCCGCGCCTTCCTCCTAAACCCTCAGCCCCCTGCCTAAACCCTCCACCGAAGCCCCGTAGACCCTCGACTCTTCATCCAAAGCCCTGCAACCTCATCCGATGTGAGACTAGAGCGGGTACTAAACCCCTTATACCCTATAAACCCTAGAAGCCGTCTAAACCCTAAACCCGTGATCTCCCAAACCCTGCACCTTCCACCACAGTAAGGTACTGTGAGGCTCCGGCAGGTGTCTGCGCCTTTGCTGCTGAGTGGTGGCAGGCAAGGAGCAACATCCGGGGTTTTCAAGGTTGAAAGTAGCCTTCAGGGTTAGGTGCAAGGGTGGTACAGTGTAGGGATAAGAGAGTTAAGGGATCGGGGATTAGGGTTTAAGGGCTGAGGGTTCGGAGGTATGTGGGCTGTGAAGACTCCACGTGCAGGCCATTTCTCTGGGTAGAAGAATTGCCCTGGTTGCCGAGAGCTGGAACGTCGCCAACGTCATGGCAAGAAACGTCATTTTTGCGTCTGGGATCAAGGGCCTGTCGGTGGGCACTGGAATGGGCTGCAGTTACGCTTGTACTTACATGTCCTAAGCCGCAAAGCCTAAGAGATGTGGGCGTTTACGTGACCCCGCTTTGTCCCGCCACGGTTGTGCTAGAGAAAGCAACATACCGGAGGTGGCGATTCCCTAAACCAAAAAGCAGAATAGTCCCAATCTGCATGCCGCTACCGATTCCCACTGTGCAACTTTGGATCAGGGTTTAAGCTTTTGGGCTGAAAGGTTTATAGAGCTCTTCGGATCTCAAACCCTGAACCTCTAAACCCTAAACCCGAAGCCACCCGTCAGGTCGGTGCTGACCCAGCAGTCACGCGAGGTCGAACGGGGGAAGTAGTAATGATCCTGGTGTTCTGTTGTTTGGCTGTCAGACCAGGCCTCATACGGGAGTTTCCGAAAAATAGGGGTACCCTATTTAAGGGTCCTTATAATGAGGATCCTGCTATGTGGGGTACTAATTTAGGGTCCCCTATTTTGGGAAACTCCCATACGGCTCAGGATTTGCACGGCCTTTCTGGGTTTAGAGGAGATACGGCTTGTATGGTTTGTAGAGCTTAGGGTGTAGGGTTCTCTGTTTTGTGTTTGGGCTTTCAGATGAGGGAATGATACGATGTATGAGTTTTTAGGCGGTGATCTGCACCAGCTGAAACCCCTGATCCTATTTGCAGGTCGTGCCACTGGAGCTCTGCCTACCCGACCAAGGTGCCCTGGAAGGTTATGCAGGGTTGGGGTTTTAATGATGGGTTTCAGGTTGTTGTATACATCGCAAAGGCCTTGCCCTTACTGAGATTTATTGCTGTGGGGGGGCTTTATGAGGGGGGGCCCTCCAAGGATCCTATGATTTCGGGCTGCTCCCACACGGCTCTTCTTTGACGGTTCGATGGTGCAGGGATGCTGAAGCTGTGTTTGCCCATGGTGGCTGAACACCTCCGGCAGAATGACGCTGACGTGAGCAGTAAGATGTTTCGAAAGTTTGGAGTGTAGCTCTCGTTCCCCTATAGCACCCCCCCCCTTCCAGAAGAATCTTGGTAGATCATACCCCAAAGTTTTAGTCAGATGGCGGAAGTCCCCTCTCTGGCTTCTTGCGCGGTAGATGCACACTGCACGCTTTGCATGTAGATGGGTCGGGTCCAGAGGAACCTCGTACAAGAACCCAGCCGGGTTCTGCAGCAAGGAGAATCACCGAACCCTAAGCTAATATGATATAGGGGCCGAATTTATGAATTCCACCACTTTGAGGGTTCTTTATCATTATTCTTGTGTAATTACATTACTTGCCTCAAACTTCACTTCTCGACAGGGCCGGGAGTGTTCAGTTTGCGTTGAAAAGAAAGTTGAGCACAGGAAGCGCCCTGGACTAAGCCTCTCTCTGGATTATATGGGAGTTTCCGAAAATTGGGGGTACCTTATTTTAGGGTCCTTATAATAAGCTCCTACTATTTATGGTGCTATATTAGGGTCCCCTATATTCGGAAACTCCCATATAAGGGCCCTGGACTAAGACCTCCTTCCTAGGCATCTGTACGAGAAAACAGTTTGTCGAGTGCTGCGCTTTATAATGCAATGCTCACCCACCTGAGTTTGCCGAGATCCTCGCATACAAGCGACGTCTGCAACCTACAAACTCAAAAACCTGTGCTTCGAGCTTTCAGAGCTCTAACTGTGTATTTTCAACAATGATTCTAAGACCGCGAGCCAAACAATAAATGAGAATTGGTAGCACCGTGGCCAGATGACATTGTTTCTGCGTCGAGAGAAAAAATGGTTCCTTGAACTAAAGAGGGCGTTGAAGTAGTCATGATTTCCGGAAGACTCCTTGAATCATACATGGCTTGTTACAAATCATGGTTTCAGGGATATGTCATAAATCTCGGGAAGCTCAACGCAGAACCAAGGTTGTGAACACATCCTTGACTCCCACGCTTGGCTGGAGACGCCCACGTTGTCTGCCTCTACGGACGGGCCAGCACGTAATTTGGGGAACTGAGGGTGTGGAAGTGAGAGTGCCTTTCTGTTGGTGTTGACTTGGGCTGTTGTCCTTGAGGCGTTGGCAGTTGCCCTTTTGAGACTGGATTTGGGGGGCTTGCCCAGATCAGATCAGGGAGTCTATTCCGAGGGCTCGTGCTGGGAAAGCTGTTTTTCGTAATATCGATGTAGGCTTTGGGCTTGATGGTTTGGCGCCCAACCCTAAACCCGGAGAATTGGGGGTCTCGGGTTCGAGGTCTTTCTAAACCCTAGCCCTAAACTGCTTAAGCCTTATAAAGCCCTCGAAGTTTCGGTCCCCTTATAGTACCCTTATAGTACCCTTGTAGTACCCTATACTACCCATATAGTATCCTTATAGTAACCAAAGCAGGCTTTAAAGCAAGGATCGGGCTGCCAGGGATGCAGAGTGTATGGTCAAATTAGAGGTCCTTCTTGTCGTCCCGATGGTAAAGTAATTATGCTGCTGCACAATCTCTGCTCAAACCCTCTTCTAATTATCGAGGGCCAGACCGAGGTAGTTTGTCACTTGTGGGATTGTGTCTTCAGTCTCCTGCAGGTGTTTGCGCTTGACATGGGATGCAGGCAGAAAGAGCGATAATCGGACGTGCTACGGCAATGTCAGCGTCGGATGTTTGGCACGCTGTATCGCTCACATGGCGCGAAAGACCAAAAACATAAGGGCCTAAAAAAATACGCATATTTTTTGGGGCGCCTTATTTTAGTTACCGTATAGTGGGCCTCAAAACCCTACTCTATAATTATCAATTATTAAGGCCCCTACATTACACAAGTCTACGGGAGAGCTGTGCACGTGTACTGCTTTCCAAAGTCTTGTATTCCCTATGACAGGGCTCGACGGTAAGTTCGCCGCCGCTTTGTTCGATCTAGATTTTTTCCTGGAGTCTGAACCCTGAAACCCTGAAGCCAGAAATGTAGACCTTCAAGACCCTCTTTACAAGGAGCCACATGGATGCGATGTCCGTTCTGTTCAGCGGGGGTTGCTTCTTCTGGCCTGGCGAAGGTGTGAGGCCTGTTCTCATGATGCTGGTAATGGTTACTACTATTACTACGACTACTACGACTACTACTACTACTACTACTACTACTACTACTACTACTACTACTACTACTACTACTACTACTACTACTACTACTACTAGCCACCCCCCCCCTACCAACCACCTCTTTTACATACTCTTGTAACCCACATCCGTTTTACTCGGTATTTACAGCACTTTCGTCATGTAGGAACATCTTATGAAGCTAGAAATTTCACCTGCGAGTTTTCAAACTCCAGCATCCGATTGTGGATTTTTTTGTTGCGGGGGTGCGTGGGTGTGCGGGAAGAATGAAGTCGAGATTGTTACGCGGACACCTCGAACAACATCTCCGCAAGAGCCATTTTACTCGGTATTTACAATACTTTCGGGATGTCCGCCATCTTATAAAGTTGCCAAGCCTACCTCTGGACTTTTCTACGTTGCCTGTTTGCCATTGCAAGGGCTTTCAGCGAAAACTCGAAATTGGTTGGGGGAAGGCTTGTTTTACTCGGTCTTTAAAGTAGTTCATCTGGTATGTTAAATCTTCGTCATCATCATCATCAACAACGAACATCATCACGACTTGAACAGAACAGAGAGGCATGCAGATTGCGATTGCACGTGTCTCGCAGGTTTTTTTGGAGCTGGCAGTCATTGCTTGGCGCGTGTCCCTGCAGGATTCTTGGAATCCGTAGGTTGTCCAAGCCTGAAAACACGAACAGACGCCTCGAACCCTTTCGGCCGGAGCCCTGAAACCCAACGTCGTCGGATGACACCACCCTGAAGCTCAGGAACCCTAAGCTTCAGTATGGAAAGCCCGAAACTCCCTAAACCCGAAACTCCAACCTCAAGATGAATCGCCTCATGTCCCTGAAGCCTAAGCCCTCGAAACCCTGCAAACCTATAGCCCTATGATCCGTAAACCTATAGCCCCATCACCCTACTAGCCTATAACCCCATTACCCTATAACCACCTGAAGCCCTGTAACCCCATAGCCCTGTAATTCGATAACCCTGCAACCCACCCCATGACCCTAAACCCTATTATAACCCTCTAACCCCTCAGCCCTCCGGCCCTACAGCACTATAACGCCATAACCCTTTAACCCCCCAAAGCAAGTCGAAAGAAGGCTTCGGCCACGGTCCCACTGCGGCTGCACGGCTTTCCGCGGCCGGTGGAGTTGGCACTCCCAGGAGCCGACCAGGTTCCAGGCGGGGCGGTTTAAGGGTCCCTGGAGGGATCCTTAAATGGATCTATAAGGGGGTTAGGGGCTTAGGGCTGAGGGTTTTACGGGTTTAGGGGTTTAGGGGTTTAGGGTTTTAGGGTTTGGATTTAGGGTTTAGGGTTTAGGGGGCGCTGGTGTTCCTTGATCGGTTCAGGACTGTAGGCTTTAGGGTTGTATGGTTGTAGGATTGTAGGTTCATAGGGTTTGCTTGTTGAGTGATTTAGGGTTTGTGTTAAAGGGTTTAGGGTAGAAGGAAGGCGGGCGGCGGAGGGGGCGGGGTTCAGGGTTGGACGTTCGGGTTGATTAGTTAGAAGACCATGGGACTTAGTAAGTAGGGTTATCAGCAAGGTAACACAAAGTTATATCTACTTATAACCCGAATTAAGGCACTTATAACCCTACTTACTATGTAAGTCACATGATCCTCCAAGTAGGGGTGTTGAGTTGTGGGGCTGTTGTTTCCTCGGTTCGGAGGCAGCCCTCTCCTGGATTTGTTCGGCATAGCTGCTTCCGTTAACGGCTTCCATGGAACTGTATTGCAGTAAGCTTCAAACCCTAAACCCCTATGCACTATACCCCTAACCCCTGTACCCTTAACCCCTAAACCCTCATTCCCTAAACCCTAAGCTAGAACCAAGGATGTCGTCAACTGACCGAGAGACATTGTAATCGCATCTATTTCGTCCGATGACTAAGCTTCGAACGGCTACACTTCAATTGGGGTGGGCCTCTTTTGTTTTGTGCAAGCCCAAAGTGGGCAGGGAGTTGGCAGTGCGAAAGTCCCAATGCACCAGTAAAAAACTAGAACCGAAATCCTGGGTGCTTCTCTGTCACAACTGCAGGCTTCGGGTTGCATAGGGGCCTGAATATATGAGCAACATATCAGGGTTTAGGGTTTTTCAGTATAGGGTTTAGGGTTTAGGGTTTTTCAGTATAGGGTTTAGGGTTTTTTCGTATAGTCGTCACAAGAACTACCTCCAGAACCCCAGTCCATTTACAGAGCTGCTATGTTGTGTGTATGGGCTGAAACTGTCAGGATCGCGGACTTAAGCATCTGTGGTCGTTGCGAATCTCAAGTTAGGAGCTTGGTCGTTTTTGGCTCACGCCCGCAAAAGAAGCCCGAAGCTTGTTCACGAGTCTTACGTTGGTTTCTTGGGGACCTGTTTCTGTCAGAGGTTCGGAAGGTTTCCAGACTTTGCTAAAGTTGTTGAAGCGTGGAACTCTGCGCCGAGCCCTCTACGCAGAAGGATGCTCCTTGTCAGGTCTGGATGTGGCACCAGCGCCAGCGCATGCAGCTTGCATCAACCGTTTTTCCCGGCATCTCCCCCCATGCGCTATGATAGCGTCTGGTGGCACATGTTAGCCTGAACCCTAAAACCTGACCCTATACCCTAAACCTATACCCACCCTATCCGGCCCTATCTCCAGTAATTCTGAACTTATAAGCCCGGAAGCCTCAGCCAGAGCTCCGCCGAACATCCCGAAACCCTGTAGAGTCAGCCGTTCGTGCGAGGAATTTGCGGCCCAAATAGTCACTGGTATTCCTTCTCGATTCCTACGGTAATATCGCACATAGGCGCCGCATGCTTCTGCAACAGCATCCGGGATAGTCATCCGGATCATGCATCTATCAGCATTCAGGGTGCAGCACGCCAAACCCCGAGCTGCCAACCGGGAGAGTCAGCGGAGCTTCTGTTGACTATGGGTAGCACAGGATATTTAAGTGAACTTGTACATCTTAGTAGAAGTACAGGGGCTGTGCAGGAGTCGTATTACTTGACTTACTTCTTATTCAACCCGGCTTCTTGTCAATGCCGAGTTCCATAGTTCCGGCAGCCCTCCATCCGAGATCCGGAATATGAAATCTCCGTTAGAGCGTCATCCCAAAGCGATGTTCTATCCGGATCCTGGGCATACCTGATTCATGTGTACACCGCTACAAGTTGCCACCAGACCCGGATGTGCCCGAAACCTAACTTGGACGCTTTATTGCTGCTGCCCCTTCGTCAGAATCGAAGGCTTTATAGGGTTTAGGGTGTAGTGTTTAGGTTTAGGGTGGTCTATACTGTAGAACTTTGCACGGTGTCATGGTGTTTCTATGTTCCTTTCGTTACGACTTTGTCTAGCCTTGCTGCACTTTTGCAAAGCCCTTCTGCTGTAACCGCTAAACCTGGAACCTGGGCTGCGATCTCTGCTACTTTGGCGTGCTGCGCGTTCCCTCTAGTACGGCGAGTGTGCATATGGGTAGTTTCTTGGGGGTACCCAAAACATTACGGAACCCTTGTAAAACGGACACCAAAAGGCCCTGAACCCTAAACCCTACACCCCAAAAGGCACCCTCATTCAGAGAACTACCCATGTGGGAGTTTCCGAAAATTCGGGGTAATTGCCTGATTCTGGGGTTCTTGTAAGAAGGGTCCTAGTAAGGTCCTAGTATTTAGGCTACCATATTAGGGTCCCCTGTTTTCAGAGAACTACCCAAATTGTACCTCATAGCAAACCTATAGGAACACTGCTAAATCTCGTTAACAGGGATCCTATTTCAGAGAACTACCCATGTGCGAGTTTCCGAAAAGGTTACCTTATTTTGGGATCCTTATAAGAAGGGTTCTAGTCTTTCGGGTACTATGTGAGCGTCCCTTATTCTATATCAGGGTCCCCTATTTTCGGAAACTCCTAAATCGAGCCTTCAGAGAACTCCCCATGTGGGAGTTTCCGAAAATTCGGGATACCTTCTTTTGGTGTTCGTTTAAGAAGGGTCCTACCCTAAGAGGACCCTAAAAGGGACCCTACCCTCATTCAGAGAACTCCTCATGGTCTTCTTACCTTTGGTTTGTAGGGAATGGAAGACTGGTAGTAATAGTAGTTATATTTGTACCCCATTCCTCCATTCCCTACTAACCAAAGGTAAGTCAGAGAACTCCGCAAACCCTAAACCCTAACCCTAAACCCTAAACCCTAACCCTAAACCCTAAACCTTAACACCCTAAACCCTGAACCCTAAACCCTTTGCAAGGTCCTGGCCTGCCGGGCTAGCGAAGCGCTGCGTCACCAGCTGCGGCAGTTTGGGCAGTCGATGGCTGGGGGCCTCGGATCTGCCCCGGGTAGTTTAGGGGTGGTTTAGTGATCCTTAGAGGGATTTTTTTAAAGGGATCTATAAGGGGTCAGGGTCGCGGCGGGGGGGGGGCCCTACTATTTAGATCCTCGGATTAAACTCTACGAGCTGTCCCTTGACATTGCCTTGCTTTGTGTCCGCCGTGACATTGTGGTGTCCATTGAGAACCCAGCCCGATCTTGGACCTGGGCGGCCATGAATCGGCTTCTGCGCCAACGAGGGCGCTCCGCCGACTGTTCCAGTTTTAACCGTCTGCAATCAGTGGTGCTCCATTCCTGCATGCATGGTGGCAGCCGCCCCAAGCAGACCAAACTACTGTGCACAGCTGGCGTCTATGATTCTCTCAACGCCCAGTGTGATGGGCAGCACCGACATGAACCCTGGTCTGTCACAGCTAGGGGAGGCCGCTGGCACTTTGCCACCGCCCAAGAAGCTGCCTATCCTCCTCTTTTGGCCGCCCGCATGGCCCGCTGTCTGCTACTTCATGTACAACCCAAGATTTCTGCAGGCCGCCTGGCGCCGGCTCTTTCCATCCTCTCGTCTGCTGCTGTTTCGCGCCAGACTCGCAAGCATGCCGCCCTCGCAGCTTAGGGTTTAGGGTTTAGGGCTTCAGGGGTTTAGGGGTTTAAGGGTTTCGGGTTCCCAACAGCCCTAACTAAACCACCCTAAATTTGAAAGCTCTCCCTCGCCCTTACCGGCATCGGGGACCGTGTTGCTGATATTATGGCTGCACTCTAAGAACCCTTCCAGACCTCTTCGACGACTCGCAGTCTTCCAGCACCATCCCCGAACTCTCAACCCCCAAACTCTAGACCTTACCCCCTAAACCCTCAAAGCTTTGGAGAACGGTTCGTCAACTATAAATCCCCTAGTTTAGGGTCCTTAACGTAATGCAGGATTTATATCATCAACAGTAAACCCTAAACCCTTATAGATCCCTTAAAGGAACCCTCTAAAGGTACCCCTATAGATCCCTTTAAATTGCTTCAGGCATGGGATCTCCGGCTGTCCATGGTGGACGGAGCCCGAGCTGAAGGCTCCAGCTGCGAGGTTTTGGGGCTCTGGGTTTCGGGTTTGGGTTTAGGGTTTAGGGTATGGGGCTCAGGGTTTAGGGTTTGGGTTTAGGGTTGGAAGTTTGGGATTTGGGGGGCGGGTTAGGGTTCAAGCATAATTTGATGTTCAGGGTTCAGGGCTTAGGGTTAGATTCAGATGTTCATCCAAAATGTAGCCCCCCGCTGAAAATACTCCCTGTCATGCAAACCGTAATATTTGCATCCCATCCTGAGCCCTTTTCGAGGTGGGGGAGTTTATTACTCAGGGTCTGCATTAATCTTGGCAGAGGTGTTAGGGGAAGGAGAAGCAGCAGCATCAAGTGCGTACTTACTGAGCCTCAGTCAGGAGTGTTATTCTTTGTAGGCGTCTCCCTCTTCATATGACTACTAGTAGTGGTAGCAGCAAGCGCACCGGCGCCAACAGTAGGAGCAGTCGCAGTCGTCGTCCGTCGTCCGTAGTCGTCGACGCTGTAGTAGTCGTAGTCGTCGTCGTCGTGGTAGTAGTAGTCGTCGTCGTCGTTGTTGTTGCAGTTGTAGTTGTTGTTATGATGGTAGCAGTCAGGAGGAAGGCAGCCGTAGTTGGTCATGCTTCTGGTACCGGTTTTTGGCACAAGCAGTTCGCGAGGATATGGTATCGCCCCTAGAAGGTAGCATTTCTAACAGAACATTAGCAACAAGTAACACAGGGAACCGCAATGCCCATCACCATCAGTCTATACAGTCTGTGGACGCTTTCCAGGCCTGGCTTGCCTGCAGTTTCTGAAAAGGATCCGGTGCTCGGTTTAGGGTTTAGGGTTTGGGGTTTCGTGAGGTTCGGGGTGCCGTGAGAAGGGTTACAGCTTGAGGAGAACAGATGACAGCCTCGAGACACCTAGAGGTATGGCTGCCCGTTTTTTTGTTTAAGTAAATCACCAGCGCATCAGCTTGACCCTGACGGCAAGCGCCAAGTCATAGAACCCAAAGCCTACGATAGAATCTGCCGGAAGATCAGGAAGCACTACGATACAGCGACTGGAAGTAGGGTTTGGGAGTATGTTGCGTGGATAGCACTACGAACTATTCAGGCCCCTGTACTATATTGGTATTTCTCATCGTTTGGTTTGTCCGGCTTTCGGGATTTAGATCCAACAATGTCCCAACTCGCTAAGCCGTATGAAGATCTCTGAACGAGTTTCGGAATTTAGAGATTCTGGGATGCTCTGATTGGAAGCATGCTAGCTTCGACCTGGCGGCTCTATTCCTAGATTATACAAGAGCAGCGAGGGGCTTCTATGGGATCAGTATGGAAAGGTTCTTTCTGCAGGATTTACCTTGCAGTCGAGTTTATCCCGGAGCGCATCGCCCAAAGCTCGCAAAGAAGCGACGCGCCCCCCGACGCTAGTCCCTGGAGATTGGTGCAAAAAGTGATCGCACCAACTGCCTTACCAGGGAGAAGAAACATGCTCATTGCCGTCCCTGCTGCTTCGGACATGGGCGTTGGAATTGTGACTAATGGTATCGATTATAGTCCCGCTGTACTTATAGTAGAATATACCCACAAGTATTAGACACCCGCAGTAGTCTTATCCGGAATGTGCTTCAAACATGAGTTATGGCCTGCCAACCCTAAACACGAAGGCCGAGATCCCAACGACCCTAAGGCCTTTACCTTCAACCCGAAATCCTACACTCCACATCTTTGCTAGGTTAAGCCCTTATGTTATGTTACTGGAGGACCCTGGGAGAAGCCAACCCCGACATGCCGGCGATCTTTCTTTCACCGCTGCTGAAGCCGGAGGTGGCTAGAGTGTCATTCTATGCGGTGGGGTGAAGATTTCCTGCACTGTGGCAGCATCAGGAGGGTTGGGCTAAGATCTCAAGACAGAGTTGACGAAAGTGTTCCTCAAGTGCAGGTGCTTTGATGAGTGATTCGACCTGCAGCAAAGATGCTGGGGAGTCACTGGAGAGCTTATTCCAACAAAATGCTGTCACCGCACGATATGAAAGGGAGAGGTGTGTCGGTACTGTTGCTCTTGCAGCTGCAGCAACAACAACTGCAGCTGCTGCTGCTGCCGCTGCTGTCGGTGGTGGGGGGTAGTGGTTGTTGCTGCTGCTGCTGCTGCTGCCGTCACGATGCTGCTGGTGTTTGGGATGATGGTGATGATGATGATGATGAGGAGGAGGAGGAGGAGGAGTGCATGAGCCGTGTGCCATGCTGGTCCTTGTGGCGACTCTGAGTATGACGGTTGCGAGGGTGTTGTCTGATGTTGCCCATGCGAAGAATGACGACTATGATGACGATGAGGAGAGGAAGAGACGAAGGCTCGACTCAACATGACGATGCAGATGCCGATGATGTTGACGGCGGCGTTCCTTGTTCGTTGTTGTTGTTGTTGATGATGATGATGATGATGAAAGATAGCCGACATCATGTTCATATCTGTGGCGACGGCAGCCATGATCACCGCAACATCAGCCACTATTGTAGTCTAGCATACTATAGTTACCGCACCAATGTAGGAACCTGATTAAGAAACCTTGGGCCTTTTTTAGGGTTCCTTACATGAATCCTACAATTCTGGGGGTTATATGGCCAGGGTTTCATAATCAGGTTCCTACAAGTAAAGATGGCCCATAGGCCCCATAGTACTTCCTTTTTGGTGTTCATATTTTAGAATCCTATAAGGTAATCCCAAAAGGGGACATTAATGCATTCAATTCTTGTGCAGGAGTGGAACGAGAGAGCATCGAAGGCCTGCGCGAGCCAACTGGGGGTCTAATTTTCAATTAAGAGTTCCCTTGAAGGCCTTTCCAATGGCCCTTGATTAGAGTCCTTATATATGGTCCTTTGTAGTGGGTATTTGGGATATAGTAGAGGGTAGTTGAGGGCTCTAGGTTGAAGGCAACTAACTTTAAGCACTTTAGCTTATCAAGGGTCCTGCGGAAACAGAGCCGGAAAGTATCCCCTTGCATGGTTTCAGCGTAGTTTAGGCAAGGTTTCAGGCTGGATGCCCCGACAGTGTTAACGAGCCGCCAAGGACATGATGTGGATTTGATGGATTTAGGGACTCTGCAATGCGAAGTTGTGCCCTTTCGTCGGGAGCCAGGCATATGACAACTTCAAGGGTTACGGCCTCGGCCTTGCAAAATGGAAGATGAGGCAAGCGTACAGAGGACAGCTAAAGTGTGTAGGGTTGTAGACATAGCAAAGACAGCACCAGCACATTACGATAGTACCATAACAGTATAATTTGTGCGCAGGTCGACAAGAGCCCTTAGTTGACTACAGTGTTGCAATGCCCAAGCCTTCAGCCCCCAATTCACACTCCCAAGAAGCATTGCAAAACTTCTTTTTGTGCTTATAGCAATGCAATAGAAATATGTTCAAGCAACTGATGGCCTGCGAGCTTCTGCTGACATGCCAGGCCCTCCTGAAAGCCGTCTTGTGGCTTCAGACGCACCCTGCTGCCACAGGCCGGAAATGGTTCTGGCTACTACCCGGCCTGCATAGTATTGCATTTTTCACGCCGAGGCTGAAAACGACGACTGCTGTTCACACAACAGCTGCCATTGTTCTTCCTGCTGCCGCTACTGTACTGCTGCTGTCAGTACTGTTTCTTCACGCTCGACATGAGTCGTTGTGAAACAAGGTACTGGTAGTTTTGCGTTAGTAGTAGCAGCAGCAGCAGCAGAAGCAGCAGCAAGAGCAGGAGCAGGAGCACGAGCAGGAGCAGGAGCAGTAGTTGTAGTAGTAGGAGTAGTAGTAGTAGTAGTAGTAGTAGTAGCAGTAGTTGTAGTTGTAGTAGTAGTAGTAGTAGTAGTAGTAGTAGTAGTAGTAGTAGTAGTAGTCGTAGTAGTAGCAGTAGTAGTAGTAGTAGTAGTAGTAGTAGCAGGAGTAGTAGAGTAGTAGTACTACTACTACTACTACTACTACTACTACTACTACTACTACTACTACTACTACTACTACTACTACTACTACTACTACTACTACTAGCAGTAATTGGAGCAATAGCAGTAGAAGCAATTGCAATGCCAGTGCTAGTGCTCGTACCAGTCCTAGTCCTGATGCTAGGGGTAATGCTACTGGCACTGGTAGCGGCAGTAGTTGCTGTTGCAGTAGCAGTAAGCAGTAGCAACAGCAGTAATCGCAGTCGTTGTCGAGGTTGTTGTGGTAGTAGTAGTACTAAGAGTGCTAGCACTACGCAGGTACGCAGCAGCCAAAAGCTCCAGTCTCTTGCAGCCGAAACCAGAGTCGCAATCCCAATCGTAGATTACCGAGATAGATTGAACATTGGCTTTATCATTCGAGAGTTTGCCCTACCGTCCTGCCTACACCGCCGCAGTTTGCTGGATCTTGTCGACAATTGGGGTGTCTTGCCTGGCGTCCACAGTTTGTGCAGAAGGTTGCCAGGACGTGGACTAGTCGTGATGAATCGGCCCTACATTAGAGCTCAACACGTTGCCTTCGTGAAGGCCGAGTTGTTGTGGGTTTCGCGACAACGGACGACGTTTGGCAATGGCGCGTGAGGCCTGTTCGTCCATGTGCATGAAGTTCCGTGCAGTAATAGCTCTTTCTTCCGTGTAGCAACAATTCTTTGAGTGCCAGAGCCGAAACCATCTGGCAGGAGCCCAGACAGCCTAAGAGCTAAGAATGGTGTCCCGAGCGAGGTGTTTGATGAGAGTTTCTAAACCGTAAAGTTCAAATGTTTGAAGTTGAAAAAGTGTCCAGCTTCTTACGTTTCAAAGGGGTGTGCTGTATTCTAGTTAAAAGTAATATATTTTATACCCCCAAACCCTATTCTCTTTGTCAAGGCCCCTATAGTACTCGTGGAAAGAAGCATCTAGCCAGGCCATGCTTCGAAGGTTTGAGGAGCCCCTGGGAGGCAAAGCCGTAGTCCCCAATGCACCCCACAAAAATTAATTTATAGTGGCCCTTATAGACCCCTTTAAAGGAACCCTTAAAGGAACCTTATTCCAATTATTGAGGCCCCGTACACTAAATCCCTATAATACCGCTTCTAGGACCCAGAGTAGGCCCTTATTCTCTTTTTTAGGGTTTAGGTTCTCTTATAACCCTCCTTAACCCAAAAAGGGCACCCTTTTTATTCCTATGTTACTCTTAGGCTTAGTAGTGAACCCCAGAAAGTTGGAACATCGATTTAGGATGATTCATGCTGGGATTCCCTATACTTTACTTTAAGGGCATGAGGCCAGTGATGTTCCAACTTTCTGGCTTCTACTGTAGGGTATAATCCTTAAGAAACAGCTAAAATCATAATTTTGCTAGGGTTCTAAGTTCAGGATAGAAAACCAGGGGAGCCCACTTCCACACCCTTTGGATGTCCCACAAAAGGACCCTAATTTTGACAACCACCCTAATATTTATATAGGGGAAAAGAAAGGCAGACAACTCCAAGCTGATTCTGTGGCTTCTTAGGTCGAAAGCTAGGTTCGAAGCTTCGTACACTTAGACTTCGGAGCCACCCGCTGGAAGCCTTCGTCCGCGGGTGAAGTCCTGTAACTACGAAGCATCGAGGAGGTAAAGACGAAAACCCTGCAGCGTGGGTTCATGGGGGAGTTTCCGAAAATTAGGGGGTACTTTATTTGGGGGTCCTTATAGTGAGGATCCTACTATTCAGGGTATTAGATTAGGGTCCCCTATTTTCGGAAACTCCCAACCCTCAACCCTAAACCATCATAGAAGCCCTTAAAGGAACCCTTATAGATCCCTTTAAAGGAACCTTATATTCTACATTAGGGTCCCCAAATTTCGGAAACTCCCATATTTGGGGCGGCCTTTCAGTCTGAGTGGGCCTGGGGAGCAAGCCTCAGCCCCAAAGCCTGAAAGCGTTTAGGGTTTTGGGTTTAGGGATTTTGGAATTTTGGAATTAGGGTTTAGGGTGTAGGGGTTTTGGAATTAGGGTTTAGGGGTTTGGGAATGAGGGTTTAGGGTTTATGGGTTTTGGAATTAGGGTTTAGGGGTTTTGGGTTTTGGGTTTACGGGTTTTGGAATTAGGGTTTAGGGTTTAGGGGTTTTGGAATTAGGGTTTAGGGGTTTTGGGTTTAGGGCTTAGGGGTTTTGGAATTAGGGTTTAGGGTTTAGGGGTTTTGGAATTAGAGTTTGGGGTTTAGGGGTTTTGGAATTAGGGTTTAGGGTTTAGGGGTTTTGGAATTAGGGTTTGGGGTTTATGGGGTTTTGGAATTAGGGTTTAGGGTTGAGGCTTAATAAGCCTTCAGCTCCAGAAGCCCCAAAAGCTCTGAGCCTTTCGGAACCGCAAGTGCTTGGAGGATCATGGGACTTAGTAAGTAGGGTTATAAGTATCTTAATTGGGGTTATAAGTAGATATAACTATAGTTACCTTACTTATAACTCTACTTACTAAGCCCCATGATCCTCTAAGTGCACGTGCAGGCGCATCCGGCACCCTGACTTCACAGGAGGGAGGGTTTAGGGTTTTAGGGACCATAGGCGTCTAAAGGATTTTTTCGGAATCGAGGGTTCATTTCGCTCTCAGGGCTTAGGACCTAGGGCTTATAGAGCTCCGCGGGTTTAGGATTTATAGGACTCTTCTACGGTTTAGGTTTTAGGGTTTTAGGGTTTAGGGTTGAGTATACTCTTCTGGTCTAGGGCTGTTTGATAGGCCTCCTAAGTTTTGTCGGGCTTCTTTAGGGTGCAGGGGCTCTTTGGATTCCGAAGTTTTAAGGGTAAAAGGAGGGACCCTTAATAAGGACCCCTAGGCATATACCCTTAATATAGCTATTCTATACCCATTATATATATATATATATATACATAGTCCATCCCCAATAAGGGTCCCTCCTTTCCCCTTTGAGAAGTATGAACATCTTGACTCCAGGATGCTGGGTACTCATGGTTTAGTATAGGCCTCGGCAGAAGTAGTAAGACTAATCCCCAGGATCCCTTACTTGGCATACAAGGTAAAATCTACCCCCAAAAGAGCCCTAAAACCCTAAACTTAAACCCTCAAAACATGATTCTAGACATTTAGGCACTATGTCTTGAGCCCTCTGGGTTAAGGATGGCGAGTTCTTAAACATAACGCTGATGTCGTCCTGTTCAGAGAGAGCCCACGATCTCCAAGCTCAGGGGATTCGGTTGTGAGGGCCGTGGGGCTCAGGGGTTGAAGCTTCATACACGGTGTAGGGTATAGGGTTTAGGGTTTACGGTATAGGGTTTACGGTATCGGGGTTAGGGTTTTGGTTGAAGTTTGGTACTGCGGAGCATAGGGCTTAAGATGTGGATTCAAGTTTGATTGGGGGGGTTCTAGGGCACACCATGTGGAGGGCTGTAGAAGCGAGGTGATGGGCTTAGAAAGGAAGTGATTCTACCTAGAATTGTAGAAAACTCAACAGTTTTGCGAATCCCTTACTTACGACAACTTTCAAAAAGGCGCCTTCGTCCCTGTGTTCTGCTGGCAGATGTGTACGGCAATGTGACACCAGAAACTGTTAGACCAGCCGTACTAATCATAACGTTTTGTTTGTTTTGCCTAGGGCTTCAGGCTTGATGAATCATTTTCAGAGGGGTATAGGCCTGAGGATTTAAGGGGGTTGGAGTTATAGAATGTTGCATTTCTAGGATTTGGGGTTTCTAGCACGTAGGGCCTTCTAGCAGGTAGGAGTTCCCGGACTTTGGGCTTGCCAGGTTTAGGACCTCCTCTTGAAACCGGAAGGCGCAGCGGCGCACCTCCGCAAGAAATACCGTTTTAGGGTTTAGGGTTTATCGCGAACGCTGGGGGTTCAGGCTTTGGCACGGCAGCAAGTAGCACATAGACCCCGGTGCCGAAGCTGCAAATGCGGACCTGCCAAAACCTTACTATGATTTAAGGTAAAAGCCAGAAAGTTGGAATATGATTATCCTAAACCCTTTATGGTAAATCATAGGGTATCCTACCCTGAAACCATATTCCAACTTTCTGGAGTTCCCTTTAAGGTAGAATCCCCAATTAACAGGTTTTGGAAGGTCTGGGAAGCCCTTAGCCCTTTACTTGGTAGCCCTCATGCGCAGATGCAACTAAGGCACCAATACTGGAAGCTGGTCTACTCATCTGTGGAGCCTTTCCTACACAAGTGCCTGAAAGCCTTTCTAGTTTACAAGCTCAGGAGATCCACTTAAAAGCCCTAATTAAGCCCCACACCTGGACCTCTCCCTTAACCCTGAGACTTGATCCCAAACCCACAAGTTAAATTCGTAACTAAACCTTAAGATGCGGGAATAACGGGAGCCATAGATGGGAGTTTCCGAAAACTAGGGGTACCTTAATTTGGGCCCTTATGATAAGGATCCTACTATTTAAGGTACTATATCAGGGTCCCCTATTTTTGGGAACTTCCAGATGTCTCGCCTCAAGCCCATCCAAATAGCCGGGCCTCATCCAAAAGCCTTGCCATTGGGCCCTTGAAGCCTTCGTACTGTTTGGGTTGTTTATAAAACCTATAAAAAACCTATGTTTTCTTAAAAAAAACCCAATGTCCGACTTGCAAAGAAAATGGGTCCGTTTCATGGTTGGTGGATCCCTAAACAACTCTGGCGGCCGCAGTAGCCAGGCCCTCAATGTGACCTACTTCTTAGCAGGCACTCGTTGCTATAAACTCTAGTATTGATTTCTTGGAAACCCTCCAACAAAATTAGAGTTTGGTCGGTTGAGGTATACTCGGGGTCTGTCAAACTCGAAGGCCTTGCAGAGGTCCAAGTCGAAGAGTCAAACAAGATGGGAGGAAGTTCTTCGGTTGAGGGTTTAGGGTTTAGGGTTTAGGGTTGGTTTGATGGCCTAAGAAGGAAAGATAAAACGTACCGAAACTGCAACGACCCTTGGGTGTAGACAAGCAGAGCATTCGGATATGAACCAAGGATGCGGCAGCTGCTGAGAAAGGCGCCGTGACTGAACCATGAGGCATGTTGTCCGACAAGGACACGGAAGCTGGTTCGGGCTGTGATGCTTGTGAAGCTGTTGCTGACGTTTGTCGGCCCACAGGTGGTGAAGACGCTGCGTAATACGAGGAATGATTGGGGATAGTATGATGCAATTAGGCTATGATCAGGGCTCTCTGAAATATTATTTAGCCTTTTCACACCTCGCACCCCGGTCCTTGCTTTTACCTCCCGAAGTCTTGTAGCTTAAGCCCCACTCCGCCCGAGCATGTGGACCTTAAGCCCAACTGTTTTTTTTGCACCCCAAACCACATAAACTTCAGCCGAGCATAACCTACCATGATAGTCGGTCAGGGTCGATTGCAAAACACAATACAAACATGTAAACAAAACACCCAGAAGTCAGTCCCCAAGGATTCTTCGGGGAGTCCTGCGCGCGGGGTTCCAGTGCATCAGCGAGCAGAGCATTCCAGCCGCAGTGAGTTTGTGGCTTCAGGGGGGATCGGGCTCTTGGGCTCGGGAAGTTTACGGGTATACTTGAGTTTAAGCTTTAGCTTTTGTCATAGTTGGGTAACATTCTACATTTTTATGGGTACTCAACCCCAATAAGGAATAGAAATTTAAAGTATTAATCCTATCCCAACCATGAACTAGTTAGGGACTTGAGGGGTGAGAGCCGTTTAGGGTTGGAGGGACTGGGAGTCCTCAAATCTAACTCGGATTGAGATCTGGCTAACATAGGGGGCCTAAATAATTACCTTTACTATTTTGAGGGGATCCTTATCACAACTACTGTATACTGGACCCCATAACCCTAGTCTAATTATTAAGGCCCCTTTTTTAATGCGGTTTCGTAGTGTGGCAGTCCAGGGCCTAAAACCCAAAACTTTTGTATTTAGGATATCAGGGTTTAGGGTTTTAGGGTTTAGGGTTTTAGGGTTTAGGGTTTCAGGGGATTAGGGTTTTAGAGCTTAGGGTTGTAGGGTTTAGGATGTAGGGCTTACCCTCCTGCAAGTGGTGCTCGCGAGTCCCTAAAACCCTGAACACAGACATGGCGCCAATGCACGCACGCAATCGGCGCACAGGGCCCTAGCAAAAAAAACCCTGAACCCTTTCGAGTGGGGCGGGCTCAGGACCTGCTTGCCCGCTTAGTGGAGGAATGGCCATTGCACATTAACAAAAGATGAAGCCCTTTAAGGACCGAGCTCCCTGACTTTACCAAGAATTTCGGTTTGAGGGTGTAGGGATGGTTGTTTGGGGGAGCCTCGGGAACAATCTTCAGTAGGAGATGGCGATTCGGGGTTTGGAGATTCCAAGCTGAGCCCCAAAGTCCGTGGTCCAGATTCTGCGCCTCCTTGGCGTCAGTGCAAGGTTTTCGGCACTGCTGGGTCGCTCAGGTCCCTCCTGCCCCTTGGCTTTGGTTGAGGTTTGCGTCTTCCCTCAAGGCTTATGTAGTGGCTATAGTATAGCTGGCCTGGGGTCTTCGGGTCCTGGAGGCTCATCATGTTCTTAACCTCAGAGCCGAAAATATGGACGCAAACGCGGAAGTAGCCGAGATTTACTTTGAGCCACGGCTTCTGCGCTACTGTTGAAAGCTACTGCAGCGGGTCCTCTTCTGTGGACGCCGCCGTGACTTGCAATTACCGTAATACACTATAACAGACTGTTATACTCGGCTACCACAACTGCTCCATTGCATTCACAACACACTACCCTTCACTGCGTACTGCGCACTGCTTACCTCCTCTTACTCATTGCTTGGTACCTGCTACGTATTACAAGCTACTTACTACTTGATACTTGCTAGCTGACTTCTCACTGCTTACTTATGCTACAACTGTGCTATCTACCACGACCGCCTATGACAAGAACTACTCCTGCCCGTACACCTACCACTCCGATTACTCTACTGCCACCACCGCCACCACTGCCTCTCCTCTGTCTTGAGGATGACAACTCATTTTTTTCATTGGATGCCGCTGTCAGGTCCTTCGTCGATGCAGACCCGGAGAACGAATGGAACTGGAGTCTTGGGAGCAACAGGGTCTAGCGTTTAGGTGCCATTGACGCTTGGGCTTGGGTCTAGCTACCATCCTCCATCCTTTTGGAAGTCGGTTCTAACCCGTCACTCTACCCCAGTCCGAAAGCCTGCTCGCACGCGTCCAGGCTCGTTGACCTTGACGTCCAGCTGCAAAACGCTGGACTCGAGGCGGGGCTGGGGAGGAGGGCGGCGGCAGAGGTTTCCAGACTTGTTGCTCTTAGAGAAACCTGGCGGAACGGCACCGTATACTATATTGAAAAGGCTGCGGTGAGACCGGTAAAGTCGAAAAGGCAATCCAACCGAACATGCTGAAGCTGTAGCTCTTGCAATCATGCACTCTGTGCAAGAAGAGGCGGGCAGTCGTAACGGTAGTGTCCGTCAGCAGTAACAGCGCCCTTCTCGTGCTGTTGATTCCCATACCAAGTCATCACTATTATGATTCTTCTACGTTTTCACCACCATCATGATCACCATCGATCATCTTCATGGTCATCTTAGCCACCATAATCGCCATCGCCATCATCATGACCACAACATAGCACAACATTAACAGCGTCACCATCAACATCGTCGTGATCTGTCTAACGGCAAGTTCTTTTTTCATCATCATGGTCATGCGTTGCCGTCTCCAACTTATTCTGTAATCATGTTCTGCGTCAGTTTCATCATCGCATGCATGATGTTCCATCACCGTGTTTGTCGCATCATAAACTATTGTCAGAAGTTGACCCATGGCGATTGCAGAGTTGCCAGTTCTGCAAAATGTGCAATTGTTAGCTTGACTATCAATATGGGAGTTTCCGAAAATAGGGGGACCCTAATCTGGTACCCTAAATAGTTTGATCCTTCTTATAAGGACCCCCAAATAAGGTACCCCTCGTTTTCGGAAACTCCCATATGTCAATTAAGTCCCAGGACTTTCTGAAGCCATGTACGAAGAACTTCTTATGAAGGTAGGAGGAGTGGTACTGGTAGCAAGCGTGCTTATATAGTAGCATCAAAGACACGAAAGATAGCACGTGTCATCGCTATGTTGAAGTTTCAAGACAGTAGGTGCCCCCGATAGTCGGGCCCTACCCAAAACCCTGAACCCTAAACCCTAAACCCCAACACCCAATACCCTAAACATTAAGATCCCGTCATATTGTAGCGACAGGCCAGTTCCTTGCAAGGGATGCTCAAGAAGCCTCTCAGTCCCCATGATGGGGTTTAGGGTAGTAGGGTTTAGGGATTTAGGGTTGTAGGGTTTAGGGTAGTAGAGTTTAGGGTTTAGGGTAGTAGGGAATGGAGGAATGGAGTACAATCATAACTACTATTACTACCATTCTTCCATTCCCTACTAACCAAAGGTAAGTACAGCTTCCGCACTTCGAGCAGCAGCATGATGAACAAACAGCCGTGTAAGGAGCAACCGGGTCTGATCATATAACTAGCGAGCAATGATAGTCAGTCGTAATATTTAATTTCGTCGCTCGAGTTAGCGCCCCTTCAGGACCTGAACTTTAAGAATGCCAAGTCGAGATGTCTGGAGAGTTCTGCAGCAGCAAACAGGATTTGGGTTTCACGAGACCCCTGTATCTGTTACAATGTCGCAGGTTGTTTGCATCCTAAATCCTTGCATCCTAAATCCCCCAACCCCCGCGCACAACAAAAAAGAAGCCTAAAGCCTCAACGCTATTCTTGAAAGGTGCTGGCCTGTGCCTCCTGGGCAATGCCCGATGCTGGGACTGACTGTTGCAGTTTTGGGGCGAGTGAAGCCCTACTGATGGGCGTATGGCTAATTATTCCTTTTACTACTACGATTACTGCTACCATTGCTCTCTTTAGTAGTAGCATTACCGTCTGAATACTTAGTGACCGTACACCCTTATAGTCGGTATAGAATCATATACATATACCCCGAAAGCCTGGTTCTAATCATGAAGGCCCCAACACCGAAACCGTTTGTGATTCTCTCACCGTAAACCCCTAAACCCCTAAACCCTAAACCCTAAACCCCTAAACCCTAAACCCTAAACCGGACATAGAGGGCCGCCTCGAACGAGTTGACACCCGCAGCGTTGAAGCTGCCCTTAGACCCTGAACCTGCGAATGGAGTCAAAGGTGCATTACACTTAAAAGACCCTGAACCTACGGAGGTATTCCTAAAAGCCTAAAACCATGAAACCGCAATTAACCGTGATTCCCTTCGGAAAGCGGGAATCAGGATGAGCGGTGATGAGCCAAATCGATACAGCGAACAATCTTCAACGGTTTAGGGTTTAGGGGGTTAGGGTTTAGGGGTTAAGGGTTTAGGGGTTAAGGGTTTAAGAGAAAGCAGGCAGAAGAAACCAAACGTCAACACTCGTACTTCCGGCGGGGCTTCAGCACTTACATGCCGTTAAAGAGACGAGATTTGGTGGTGCTAGACTCGGCGAACCCACCTGCTCTTGTGAGGGGCAGAAGCCCCTATTGCGATCAGGCAAGTCGCGGCACCGTCATAAGTCACACAGTCAACATCGAAACCTGCTACGCATTACAATGATGATCCAGCCAAAGAGAAAAGCATCTGCTAGCGAAAAAAGGGTCATTGCGACAGTCTCTCGGTTCTGACATCTTCCTGACAGAGGGCCCTACACTTGGTACCTAAAGCTTAAACACTGGAACCTAAACCCTACCTTAACCCTGAATAACCTACCTTTTTAGGGTTCCTTATTGTGATCTCTTTATGTAAGTCCTTAAAAATGTAGGTTCTTCGGGGTTAAGGTAAACCCTATTGGAGTATGCAAGGAACAGGACTACCTGACCCGGGCCACGCTCTCTCGGCACCTGGCAGAGAAGCACCAGGCACGCTTTGTTCATCTTGGTTACACTAACCCCTATTCTAACACTACACCGACCTAGCGCTGCAGGCCCCAACCCCTATACCCTAAACCCCTAAACCTTCAACTGCGCTAGCTCCTGTGCGGAGGTGGAGATGGCAGAATTTCTGGAGGGCAATCGCCACGTCCACTGCCTCCCTGGATCAAACTGGTTCCAGGCGCTCACTTTCCTGGTCGCAGCAGGTAACGGGGCTTTCTTTGCGAAGCGTGCAAGAAGTCCCCAAACCCTCAGGCATGAATGGCAGACCTTGACCTTAAGTTTGCAAAGGTTTTAAGAAGCGTACCGGAAGGGGCGTCTGGAGTTACCACTAGGTTGCCAGCGCATGATGCATGGCCCGAAGTAATGAAGTACTCGTGTGAGCACTGTAGATATATGTCTCAAACGACAGTCAGGTCACTAAGTAACCTCTCACCCGACCTCTTCGAACCTTCTGGCAGTGGGTTGTATCTAGTATCCCACGCTTCGCACATCCCTGCCAGACAGTCTGAGGCTAATCCCAGACCCTGAACGTGAAACTCTCTACACCTCCCCTAAACCCTAAACCCTGCAACCATGCAGTTGGAGAAGGGCCCAATTTAAAAAGATAATCCCTCAGCCCTTGACGTGATAAACCCTCTACAGACTGAACTCCAGAGGCCGAAGACCCGGGGCTTGAATCCCGTAGACACAGAGCCAGAACAAGAAGGTCGGGTTTAGGGTTTAGGGTGAGCCTCACCTCCGAGCTTCTTCCGTCCCCTCAAAATTATATGGGCATACCTCCAAATCCCTTCCGTCCCCTTAAAAACCACAGGGGCATGAGTCATTAAAAGCGTGGCTCCTCACGGTCCCCTGGTTGATCTGCCATCATAATACCTCCAATTTAGGGGTTTAGCGGTTTAGCGGTTTAGGGTTGAGAAATTTTTTGGGTTTAGTAAGGGGCTCCCAATCCCAGTCGAAGAATTTAGGCCTCCATGGCACGGCTCCTCCTGCAACTCCAAGGGTGAAAGGAGGGACCCTTAATAAGGACCCCTAGGTATATACCCTTAATATAGCTATTATATACACATTATATAGCCGACTATAGGGTAGGGGTCCCCATTCAGGGTCCCTCCTTTTCCCCTTTGAGCAACTGGGTGTCCTTTGGTTTTGTGGCCGGTCAGGGCTTCGCCCCTGGGGTTCCCAGAACCCATCGTCCGAGTTCATCGCTTTGGGGAGTCGGGCTCACCGGTTGATGCAGGGGCCTTAATAATTACCTATACTCTTTTGGGGGCCGTTCATTATAAATATGGTGGAACGGGCCCCCAAATCCTATTCTAATTATTAAGGTCCCTACATTAAGAAGTTTGGTGAGTTGATGGTTTCGGGTCTGAGTGTCTGTACAGGTACAGGGGTGCGTGTGAACCCTTGTTTAGGCTGGGCATGCTACCTCATCTTGCAAACGTTGGCGTGTACGTAATTGCATTTTGGTTGTTGGGGGACCTCTTTTTCTGACCCCCTGCGTCTTTCTTCTGACCCCCATCTCCGGGGGGCATCCACGCCCCCTCCCCCTGCCGGCCCCACTTTGCTTCCGATCTGCATTCCGACTCCCTCTGTTTTTTTGCTGACCCCCTATATCTTCCCTCAAACCCCCTGGATTTACCCGTGTCGCGATCCCGATCTCGTGGGTCACCCCCTTTTATCTTTTTTGTGACCTCGGAAGTCTTTTTTTCGACCCGGCCGACCTGCGCCCGCAGCCCGGGTAACTGGACAATCGCGAGGTCGGACGACTGATGAAGGGGGGCCGTCCTACGCCATCTACCTGCAAGCCAAGCCATGACAGCCGCAAAGTGGGCAGGGGCTGCGCCACCCCTCAAGCTTCCCCTGCCTGGGAGCCGTGCCAGAGTGCTTAAAACGCAGAGGTTTTGTTGCAAAGTGCATCATGGGATCATTGCGTTTACTGTGCCCCCATGACCCTGTTGCTGATACAAAATGCAGGCAAGTACAGGTTATCCCACGAAAATATAGAGGAAGTAGAGATGTACTAGGCAAAACATGGAAATACTGAGAGAATTGTTTCCGAAGGCAGAATATGGAAACTAGAGTTTTTTGATATGAAAAATTTGTTGAATCCAAGACTTTCCTAGGGAAGGGATCGGCTCTAAAATTTGCTCTTGTTCTTCCGGACTTTGCAAGCACCAGGAGAAGGCCGTTGCTGGGAGGATTGCATTATTGAAGGTTGTTTGTTATGCGGAAGAACGTTTTTTGTTAGGCTCCATCAGGATGGATTGACATATTGCTGTCCGAAGGCCGAGTTTTATTAAGGAAAGTATGGCTTCCGTCTAAATCTGCGTATCCGGAGTCTCGTGGCTCGCAGAGCAAAGCTCGCCCAATAAAATGCTTTGATTCAAAGTTGGCTGTCCTTTTCGCAGCAATCGCAGGGTCTCTTCTCTGCAACATTGGAGCGGTCGCAATAGTTGTAGTTTTGTCATCTTGCAATGTTGAGGCGGTCGCAGTGCGTGCAGTTTCTGTCTCTGTAATGCTGAAACGGTCGCCGTACCTGCAGCTTCTTTCTTTCTGCAATGCTGAAGCGATCGGAGTACTTGGCAGTTCTCTGTCTCTGCAACACTCGCAACTTCTTTTTCACCGCAATACTGACTCTGTCGCAGTAATGGCCCAGTAATGGCACTTTCTCGCGTGTTTTGCATCTGAATCAAGCTTAGCTCTGAAGCAACGTGATACTGCAAACGACTACAAAAAAACAAACAACGTTCGACTCGGCAACGAAGAGCCTAGAGGAACAGCAGGAGTGGGGGCAGGAACAAGAAGACAAACCGTAGAAAAGTTCACTAAGCCGATTTTTGTTGTTGGCCATATGGCCCCCAAGCCAGCGCGCAGTGGCCGCAGCGGCACAAGCTTCTTGCCCCAGAGCTTTCTTTTGGGTTAAAGTCGTCCTTTCCGTAGTAGTTAGCATGCCAGTGGCCGACAAGGGAATTTCGCGAGGTCTCCGCAGATGCTGCAGCAGCCACATGGAAAAATGTATTTCAAGGCTGTCATAGCGCGATCTGATTTTTTCCAATGGGTGCGACTGATCGTGGCTTGGTCCTGGCACGAAGCACAGCGCTCCAGCAGTTGCGAATGAAAGTCTAAGGAAGCAAAACGCAGACGAGCACGACCACCAGAATCTTTCTTGCAAAGTGCCATGCTCTAGCTAACGGCAAGGATCGTTTCTGTGTTACAGCTCGTAGCAAGCCGTAAACCTTCTCTGAGCGGCAAGCCGCCGCGTAGATCGCAGACCCCGGCTCGAGGGCACTCGTTCGGGCTGTGTGGCATGTGCGGTGGCAGTCGCAATGGTCTAATTCTAGGACCGACGGGGCCGAGTTACTTGACGGCATGCAGGCTGCCTCGTGTGAGTCTTCCGCAAACAGCCAGATGGATTGAGTAACCGTAAATCATGCAGCTTTGCAGGTGACAGTGTGACCCAACAAGAAGACGCAGCGCACATGTACATGTTATGAGCAGTGTGAGCAGGCGTGCTCCGGTGGCAGTGGCAGGAAAGCGGCTGGTCGGGGTGGCAGGACTCGCAGCTTGGAGCGCAAATGTGATCAGGGAAGGTTTGGGTCAGGGTCACGAACGAGAGCCCCACCGGTGAGTTCACCGCAACGACGAGACCGCTGCAAATTGCGGCAAGCTATGTGCAGTGGGCTGCTGCTCAGCTGGCCATGGCAGGACAGCGACTGGACGGGGTGGCAGGAGTCGCAGCTGGGCTTGCGGATGTGCTGAGGACAGGTTCGGATTGGGGCCACCAGGCCATGACAGTCAGAGAAACCGGCCGGCTTCGCGTTGTGTTGAGGTGGCAATGGGGTACACAGAAAAGGACGGAGGTGTTTCTCGGCGAGACGCGTTTTGTGTTGAAGTCTGCTTTTGCTCCACCATGCTGCCGACAACGAGGTCATGGCGCGACAGCAGCTTGCCTAGCGCCACTGTGAGAATGCTTGTCTCAGCCTGAGCAATTAGCCGTTCCGAACTGCGACGAGCAAACTTATCTGTGGTGAGGTGGAATCAGCAGGACATCTAACATAGGTCCTGCTTGTTCTGGGTCATGTAAGGACCCATGAGAGCTCCGTGCAGGCCAACGCCTGTGTCCTCTGCGGCGTCCCTTGTCTGTCACAGGTAGGACAAGACCTTCAAAAGCACGTTTGTCGATGTCAGAGCAGCAGAGGTCGGGCAGTGCCAGCAAGTACTTCGGGCCGCCTTTGTCAACGTCCGGAAGCAGCAGGAAGTGTCTTTGTTCTTGGGCACACGGGCTGGCTGCGGATGCTCGTGAGGTTGCCGGGTGGCAAAGGCGCCCAAGCAAGTGTAGACCCATATATATATATATAAAGTTGGTGTAGATGCCGTCGTCCTTGACCCACAAGCGGCACCATTGAGCAGCCAAGGCCAAGCCGGTCCTTAGCTGTTAACAGGTTCCTTAGCTGCACAGGCGAAGCAGGCAGCGAAGCTGAGCCCGGAGGCTGCCTTACAGGCCAGACAAAACATGCACTCCTAGAAGGAGAGAGCGAGAGCACTCATGAGCATTAACTGGTGACCCCCGCCCTGAGCAAGTGTAGACCCTGCCATCGCCAAGAATAAGGGGCATCTTGGTGAGCACGGCTTCATGACACCGTGCTGTCTTGGTACACCTAAGCGGCTGCGGGCCAAAGCCGCAAACCCGAGGACCCAGCTGTTCACCGGGGAAGTGATGGCTTGCAAGAAACATCGAGACTACGATGAAAACGTGCGGAAACAGATCGGACCCTGAGCTATAAAGCACACTGTACAAGTAAGCAAATTACCCGCAAAGCATTCTCGGCTGCAGCTATTGCTTGAGTCTATTGCTTGTACCGAGGTGAAGGGTGGGTGTTCCATGACGGGACTCACTATTCCTTCGTGAGTTTCAAGCATATTTTCCGTAGCGGTGACCAGGTTTTGTTTTAGCTTTCAACGGCCCCGCCGCTTTGACGACAAGGCGGAGGCCGTAGGCGTTCAACTGCGGGACCAGTAAACCAGTGATGGGGCGAATTGCATTGGCGTCGGGCGCTGTGGCAGATAACGCAAATTTGCGGGGAACAAATAGGTTGTTTGTTTGCGTGGTTATTACTCACCTGCTGATCTATGGATTTGTGTATGCACGGGATTCCGAATTTGTGGGAACCACTTTCCTAGCATTCCTTGCACAGGGGTTCGGAATGCTGGTGCAGTAACCATGTTGGGAAACTCCTCTGCCGTAGACGGTGCGGGCCGGTTGAAGTAAGCAGCTACTGGCGCTAAATCTGGATAGCCCGTATAAGCCTTAAGCCTAAACCTAAAACCTAAACCCCCAAAGCCCTACATGTATCTTCACCCGAATACGGAAAGATTCAACTTCATCCCCCAGGACCCCGAAACCCTAAACCCCAAAACCCCTAAACCCGTCACCCACCACCCGACATCTGCGGAAGCTTCGCCGAAGGTGGCTCAAAAGGGCCTTGTGGCACCCTGGTGCTTCCGAAGGGATGTTATGCAGGCCCCTGGGCTTCTTCACGCAGAATGGTAGTTCTTGACAAAAAGTAGGGTCCCTTCTTAGGTCGGTTTTAACAAGGGTGCCGTACTATTTTGGGGACCCAAAAGGGGACCCTAATTTAGAGAACTACCCGCATAGGAGTTTCGGCATTCAAAGTGTTGATTTAGGCTCTGGGTTCTAGGGTGTCGGGGCATGTCGAGGCAGAGGGTTTCGTGTGTACAGCAACTAGGTCTTAAAGGGGACTTTAGACCCCACACCCAGGATCCAGCCCCGGGTGTCACGTTGATACGGGTCCAACTTCATCCTTTACAGGGCTTGGTTCGAAACTACTAAATCCCTGCACCCTGAACGGGTCACAAGACATGGTGATGGGAAAGTGTGAAGAGCATAGGTGAACCGGGTGGCTTCGGTTCATACACAGTAGTGTAAGCCCCTATACTGTATGGGATGCTTGCGGAATCTCGAAGGAGTGGGTCCCGTTCACTTCGCAATGTGGTTGACGGCTGAGGGTTAAGAGTTGCAAAATCCTTCCTAAACCCAACGCATGCAACCCCAATCTTCTTGAGTCTTTGGATAGTCCACGTCCTATGAAAAACAGCCCTTAGCTTTGGAGGTTCATGGGTAGTTACAAGTGGGGTTATAAGGGTTACCTTACTTATAACCCTAGTTATTATAACTACCCGTGAACCTCCAAATGGAGGTTTTTTGCAGGGCTCAAGCTGGTTGAAGGCTTTTGAGGCTTTTCAGGACCCAAGGCGAGGGGGCACCAGGATTCCCAGCATCAAAAACCCCATCACCTTCTGCCTTAAAGAACCTTCACACTCCCAAAGCTCAATTCCTAAAGACCCTAGTGAGACCTCAAGAAATCCCTATGTGGAGGTTCATGGACGAATAGCCCCACTTACAACCCATGAAACTCCAAGTACACGTTCAAATCCATGGCGAGGCATTTCGCCGGGTGAGCCGATGGTGGACCTCCTTGGATCCACGGAACTTTGTTGTACCCGAGGAATTCACGGGGTCATAGGGGGGTCAAGGATTTGAGGGCTGCGGGGTTGGGGACTGGCATTAGGAATTGGGATTTGCGGTTTGGGCGTTGGGGTTGGGGTTTGGGTCGAGGATTTACGGTTGAGCGCTGGGGAATTAGGTGTCGTTTTCAGGCGGTGTTGGGTGTCGTAGTGCGTGGGAAGGGTAAGGTGTCGGTTTTGTCAAGGATACATAATGTGCGTAGAGTGCAGGTGCACATGTGCACACATCGCGCTTGTCAGTTCTCAAGCATATATGATTTGTATCCACAAAAGCTGAGCCCTACATAGTAGCGGTCGTAGCACTTTTTCATCCTTTTAAGGCCTGTCTAAGCCAGGGGCAGCCTACATTCAAACCTTTTGGGCTATGCTCATCAACCCCTGTCCTGTCCAAAACCCTGAAACGCAACAGGAGGGGACATTCCTCGCGCTCTTCCGGAATGGAGCAGCTACTTGCCCAAATTGGGCCACCGACAGCAAAATCCTAAGCCCGAAGAAACAAGCCCTTAATCCCTAAGAAAAGGTCCAAGCCCGCAAGCCCTTTAGCCCTGAACCCCAAAACCCTCGGGCCCTAGAGCTCCCAAAATGCCAAAAGGAAAAGGCACCTGCGACGTTCGATAGGAGTCAGCCTCAGGCCAAAAAGCCGGGCTCAGTTGTATTGGGCTCCCAGTTAAAATGAACGTGGGGGCTCCTCTTGAATGTTGACAGTTGGGTTCGACCCTTGCCCTAAAAGTCCCGAGAAGCCTAGACTCCAGACCCGCTCGCGGCCGCTCGCGGCGACCTCTTCTGAACTCTGGAAACCCCAATACACCCAACAGAGCTCACCAAAACAGCCGAAGCCCCAAACCCAAGCCTGTGAATCCTTAAGGAAACCTCTTAAGGAATCCTCAAAGTCCCAAAACCCGAAGCCCTAGAGACGTTCTTGAAGAAGCAGATCACCTTAAACCTTAAACCCTAAACCTTAAACCCTAAACCCTAAACCTTTCCCGAGGCTGGGATTATGCCCTGGGACTCGGACTTCGATGTCAAGCTCTACACTGAAGCGGACATCACCATGGAAGGCAGGGTCCCTCAACGGCTGCATACGTTTAGGGTTTTAGGGTTTAGGGTTTAGGGCTAAGTCATTACCAAGAAAATTCCTTGGGGTTCCTATTTTCCCTCTAGTCTACCACACCCCCAAACCCTATTCTAGCTGTTAAGGCCCGTAAAAGTAGGCTGCAGGGTTGAGGGTTGGGGTTGCTGCTGAGGAGTGAAGAAGTTTGGGCGGCGGGCTTTGCTGTTGGAGATTCGGATCGGGGGTTGCGGGTTCCTGTTTTAGGGTTTAGGGTTTAGGGTTTAGGGTTTAGGGTTTAGTTTAGGACTTGAGGGTTTGGGGTTTGAGGGTTTTAGGGTTTCGGTCTCGGGGTTCATGCTAGCTTCAAGGTGTTAGTTAGTTGGAGAATCTTTCAGGGGCGCAGCATTGACGAGTTTGGGGTAAGGGCTCAATATTTCGTAGGAAGTGTTCTTATGGTCTTTGCATACTCATGGCATCATATACCCCAGCGCCCTGCTCTGGACGACAACTAAGATGCCCCTCTATCTCTAAATTTTGTTAGGGGGATGCTGTCAAGGCCGGATGCCTCAAACGGACATGTGGTTGAAGAGCTGTGCATTCGCTCGACCGTCCTTTGAACCATGAGCCCCAGTACCAGCACCTCAAGCCTCACGGAGCCCCTGAATCATCTTCACCTAGGACCTACAGTAGGCCCTTATTCCTTTTTTAGGATTCTGGTTCCCTTGTAGGCCCCTCTAAACCAAAAAGGGCACCCTTTTTATTCCTAGGTTACTCTTGGGTCTAGTCACGGGCTCTTTGGGTTCGGGGTGTCTAAACCCTCAACCAGATCAGGTTTCCCTGAAAATGTCCTCGCTCATGCAACTTTAAAGGGAGATTGTTGAGGGCTCTGTGGATGCGGTGGCCCTGGGAACCATTCCGGAGTGAGTGGCTCTTTGCTGTCGTGAATCAGTGCAGCGGGCTTTCTGAAGTTGAGTTTGAGCTTTATGGTCTGTGCCAAAGGGATACTGTCCTAGTCGGATTTTTGGTGTAGGGTTAACACAACAAGAGTTCCAAAGCCCTTGGAGGCTTCATGAACCGGACGCAGGAGCCTGCGTTTCAATCAATCGGGACGCTCGGCTAAAATGTTCATGAAGGGGTCCGGATAGTTGCAACGGAGGTTGAAGGGAATGCTCGTTTCCGATGTTAGGCATAGGGTTCGCATGGCGATGCAGCATTGTGGATTCGAGCTACGGTTCCCTGGTGTTAGGGTTTCAAGCTTTCAAGCTCGTCCTCCTAAAGAACAACCCCATCCACACCCGCCACACCAACTGCCAGGATAGAAGCCTTTGCGTACGACGGCTGTGGCCAGGCAGGATCGTGCGGTGCAATCTTCACCTAGGAGCAGTGTATTTCCTAGGTATCAGCTATCACTGCATGAACAGAACTGCACAGTACGCCCTAAACCCTAAGATAGGGCTCTTTTGGGGGTGCCTGAATACAACTCTTGTAGTATAATTAGCCCCAAAACCCTATTCTAATTGTTAAGGCCCCTATATTCAGCCTAAACCCTGAAGCGTCAGCACATTTTTGTTTGCAGCTTTAGTGACTCTACGAGTTGGCTCCAGGCTAGTAGCTCTCTCTCGTGTTCAGTCGGCTGCAAGCTGGAGTGATCGAAACTCAAGGCGCTAGGATTGTAGGATGTATATGTACGTACGCATGTACGTATGTATGTATGTATGTATGTATGTATACGTCTATGTAATATGTACATGTATGCGCACGTGAGTGTGCAACTATGTGTATGCGCATGTGTATATGTATATGTATGTCTGCACGCATGTATGCATGTACTGTACAGATTTATATATACACATACATAGTTGTAGGTATTCATGTGCGTCTACTGATTTGTTTTTTATGTGTTTGTTGGTGTACATCTGTTTGCTTGCTCATCGTTCTGGACATGTATATGTAGATGCAGATGTATATGTATATGTATATGTTTGCGTGTGTACATATGGATATAGAAATATGTATATATATATATATATATATATATATATGTGCACGTGTGTATGTGTCAAGATGTACTGCTGGCTGTTGCTGTGCATATGATCATATCTCTCACTCTCGATGTTTTCTCAGTTCTATTCTGAATATTGCTTTGGGCACGTGGCAGGACAACTACGTCCTCTTGCGGCAGGCGAACATTGTACACCACATCGGTGGCTTGGTGCAGGCGTTTATGTTGAGCAGTTGAATCCGATATATGCTGAACTTCACAGAACGGAGGGTCGAGACATGTTTTGGCTTGCGGAAGAGATGTGCAGGTCTCTTAGATCGGAGGGAGGGTCACAAGCGAGTTCCGGTTCGCGTTTCTGACGATTGAATTCTAGCTGGGCCCACTAACATTTTGCGCCTAGCTACTCGTTCGCCCTCCGGGCATGGCTGTTTGCGCCGCTCTTTCAATCGTAGTCCTATAAGACTGACAACGACCTAGCAGGACCTAACATCAAGCCCCTGGGCGAGCCAGCGCATACCAGCCCTACACCTCGTTGCAAATGTCTTAAGGCCCTAGAGTGCAGCAGCCGCATATCTGCAATCCACCCAACTTCTTCCTTCATTTCACCGCTCAGGTGACGCATACGTGCGCTGTGGACGGCCGAGGCAGTTGCAGTCTCATGCTGAGCTACGGCTTAGGGCGTAAGTTCGTCTCAGCTTTTAGGATGTTCCCGGATCTACCGAATCTGAAGACCACACATCAGTCTACCGAAGCGTGAGACCCCACATGGGTGGTTGTCAAAACTAGGGTCCCTTTTTGGGTCCCTATTATAACACGGCGCCTATTATTTAGGGTAACCAAAAAGGGACCATAATTTTGACAACTACCCATATGCCCTGTAGGAGGCTCATCTGATGCATCTTAGTCCGCCTCTAGCGGCCCAGTAGCATTTCTGGAGGCTTTTGCCTCCTGAACCCTACGCCCCAGGCCCTCAAAAAAAGCAAAAAACAAAACGAAGCCAGGGAGGAGTTAGAAATTCCCGCTCTCGTCCCGCACAGTCGACGCCTCTCTTTTTCTTAAGACCAAGGCAGTCTCAGGTTTCAATAGCTCAGGGTTAGGGTTCAGGGGGGTTGAGCGTTTCGACAGGTGTCGGGGCTTGCGCCGGATGCTTGAGTTCAAGGCTGCTTGAGCTTGGCCATCTGAAAACTACATGACCAGTCCGTTTTGGGGTTTAGGCTTTTTGTGTTTTTCCAGGGTTGCCTACATGAGTAGACGAAGATCCCCAACGCCCCAGTCCAATCATTCAAGCCTCCCCATGGTAATGCAGACCCCCCAGCAGCCTAGTCGAATCATGCAGGGCCGTCTATGAAGCCCAGCAGCTCGAAAGCTTCCACGAGTGACAGAGTCCTACGGTTGATGATATGAATCCTGCATTACCCATTAAAAGGAATATGCCACAATTCCAATAGTTTAGGGTCCTTAGGGTAATGCAGGATTTATATCATCAACCGTAGTTGGAGGGGCCAAGAGTCATAACAGCAATCTCCGCCGAAGCTCGAAAACAGGCGTGTTCTAAGGCTTTTGTATTGGTCAATGGTAGCGTTTCCGGGTTTCAGAACGGCCCTAAAGTGCTCATAGTTTCCGAAGCCAAAGCCATTTGTTTGAGAATTTTGGCTTTGGGGCACCCCTAAACCGTATACAGTAAACGTCAAATCCTAAATCCCCGATCTCAAATCGTCCCGAAACCCAAACCCCAAACCTTCAAGCGCCGTTTCTTGACCTTCATCCCTAAATCCCCAAGCCCCTAAACCCCCAAACCCTTAAGCCCCAAGCCGTCAAGGCAGGAGCATCCCTGGAGAGCGTGGCTTTTTGGGACGGAGTGTCTCTTCTGGAACGTGTTGCGAAATCAAGGAGTAGGACATGGTATTGTAGCAATATAGTTACGTGGTCAAAAAATTAGCTATATAGCCTCTAAGTACCTCAATGTAGCAAGATAGGTACATAGACTCTAAGTACCAATATAGTAATTAGTTTAGTCCTATGGGTCATATAGACTCCAAGTACCGAGCGTGTTCAGTATTTTTTGTTGAGGTGTTTCGGAGCGATTTTGGGGGTGGGGCCAAAACTAAGAGGTTTTCGATGCATATGAACTTTACAAGGCTGGGAGAGCAGCCTCTCTAGCTCCAACCTTGCCACAGGCTCTTGCGTGTGAACACTCGGCCTTTGAACCCTTAAGCCCTGATGAGCCCTCCCCCAAAAGTCCGCCAGTCTGGCTTGAAAGCGGCGTCCAGCAGTTGGGTATTTGCATTAGGCCCTTCGCCCTCACATGTAAATCCAACCCTGAATCTATGGCCGTGAGTTGAACCCGAAACGTGAACCCTCGATCCAGCAGCCAAGGGTGAGCATTGGTCCAGACCACTTGCAGCACATCTTCTTCACACGATACAAGACGCCCGTCCAGAAGCTCTTTGGCACCCTGGCTTAAACTCCTGGCGCTATGTCATACTGTATGAAAGCACAGCAACATTGGCTAAGACCATGGTAGTAGCCATATGCATCATCAACATCTTCATCAGCAGCACAACAAGCCCGGACTAATGTGTCGATCGACGACGCTGATTGCTACGGTAGGCATGTGCGCGCACCGACAGCCTGTATATTCATCATCTTCTTCACCCGGTGTCCCAGACTGATCAATCCTACAGTAATCGCTCATGGAATCCTCAAGTCTCAATGCTACGAGCCTAATTGACTCCATGCCCTCAATACTAATCGGCAACCGCTGCCCCCTGAAACTGAGGTGTTGGTATTGTGGAGTTTGTTGTCGGGGGGTCATGGTCTTGCAGGCTTCAGCCTTTCACTAGGCCCTGATTGCTATAACCAAGCCATGAGTTGAGGAGATGGCATCCCACTGCAGTGTTTCCACACGGGGCATAACGCCTGCATGCCAGAATCTTGGATGCACTCTTCTTCGATGGTGTTAATATTTAGGATGCGTTGTGTCTTCAGTGGCGAAATGGGGGTGGTGTTAGGTGGTTGTCAAAATCAGGGTCCCTCTTTGGGTCCTTACTATACTACGGCACCTACTATTTTGGGGTACCCAGAAAAGGCACCATAGTTTTGACAACCACCCAGTTGGTGGGTAGGGCTCGAACTTCTATCCCGGTTTGAGGTAACAGCTCGGATGCCGAAACCTCCATAGATCAGAAATGGAGGATGCGGAGCTTCGGGTTTAGTAGGTCGGTTGTAGCAGGAAGTAGGATCCCAATAATTGGTCCCATATCCTGGAGAATGATTCCTGCTGCACCGTAATTATGGTTTAGGACTGAGCGGATGCATGAGTCCTACCCAGCATGCTGAAGTGAATTGGGCAAGACCTCAAGCAGCCTCAAGCCAACAAGCCCAATACAGGGGCCTAAATAATTCCCAATACTACTTTGGTGGTTCCTTATCATAATTGAAGCATAATATACCCCCACTCCTAAACCCTAAACCCTAAACCCTAAACCCTAAACCCTATTCTACTTCTCAAAGCCAACAACCCTAGACGAAGCCCAGGTCGAATCTGGAAGCCCCAACCCGGAACAGTCGATCCACGACCCCCACCTGGATCCCAAATGAGCCACCTGTTGGGGGAGTTCCTTAATATGATTTCTTTGTAAAGGATCTCAAAGAGTCAGGTTATTTGGGGTTAAGGTGGGTACCAACTGTTGGGGGCTCCGTTCTATGATTTCTTTGAAAATGAGTTCAAAAAAATCGGGTTATTTGGGGGAAAAGTAGGTACTAACTATTGGGTGTTCCTTGCTATGATGTCTTGTAAAAGTTCCCAACAAGTCAGGTTATTTGGGAGTTTCCGAAAATTAGGGGTACCTTATTTTGGGGTCCTTGTAATAAGGATCCTAATATCTAGGGTACTATATTAGGGTTCCCTATTTTCGGAAACTCCCAGATGTCTATGTCTTGGTTCCTTACTGTAGGAAACTAGTTCAACAGTTGCCTAGCCCTCATCTCGAACACCTTGCAACTTCGTACATGCACAGAAGCATAGCAGAGTTCAATAATCGCAGTTCTGCTGATAAGTGTACTGCAGATAAGAAGCAATAGCAACAACAAGTCGAGTCCCTGAGCCCTAAACCGCCTCGTCACCAAAGTAACAGTCATCCGAGCCGCGAAGTGTTGCTCGAGGACTGCACCAACACCTCCGCGCCCTGCGAATTCCCGGATCTCTCTGGGAAAATGGCTTTAGGGTTTAGGGTTGTTGCGGCTTTTTTCGAGTGTTAAAGGTTGGGATTCCAGAGTTTGGGGTTTCATTAAAAAGTAGGGGATTCAGGCGGTTGTCGGTTCGGGGGTTTGTGGTGTCAAGTCGGCTTAGGCTTTGGAGGTTCGGTGAGAGCTTGAGTAGTGCTTAGCGTTTAGTTTAAGGCAGGGACTTCAGGCCTCTTAGGGCCTTAGGGGTTATAATAGGGTTTAGGGCCTAGTTGCTTCATGTCTTTTCGGTGGAATGGTTCAGTCGCGTCCTGGCTTCGTGCAATTGAGTTAGTGACTGTTAGTGCTTAGGCCTTCGATTACTTTTCGAATGAAAGCTGCAGTATTACCTTAATATGAGGGGTCTCAACAAACTACAATACTGTTTTGGGGGCTCCTTATTAGAATTGTAGTATAATGGGCCCCAAAAACCGTATTCTAATCATTAAGGCCCCTATATTAACTTACGCTAAACCCTAAGGCTCAAGGCGGCCGTGATTCGCTCACTGGGCAGGTTGATACCACCAGACTCAAGTCCGGAATTGAAGTCGCACATCCCAGAAAATACTGTAATTTGTTGCCTGAACACCAAACCTCTTGCAGCGTCGAAATCAAACGGAACACATGCTTGCCGATGTTTGCCACAAATATAGTGGCTTCAATAATTACCATTGCTGTTTTGGGGATTCCTCACTATAAGTACAGTATAATGGGCCCCAAAACCCTATTCTAATTCAACAGGCCCCTGTAGTACGTGCGGCTGCAGGACACCTTCGTACATGTAGACTGAGCTTTCCTGGTCTACGCTGGCTCTTGGTCGCCGCAATAGGCGATCAGGGGTTCGTGTGCGCGTGCGTTTGCTCGGTTTACGATTCAGGGTTCAGGGTTTAGGGTTTAGGATTCAGGGTTTAGGGTTTAGGGTCCAGGTTGTAGGGTTTAGAGTTTTGTAGGAGGTTGATGTGTTCAGCAAAAGAGTTGTTTCTGCTCTTCACCCCAGCTGTGAAGTTGGAAAACAGTCCACAACGGCCAGACGAAGCCTTCAGCTGCATATTCTGAATAATGCAGGAGTCTATATTACTATTTTGGTGATTCCTTACCATGGTCATAGTACAAGTATAGCCTTCCCAAAAACTTCCCAAAACCCTAGTCTAACTAGTACCTGCTGTCTTACGGTTTTGTTGCTGTCTGGCGGAATAAGCTTACGTGCTGCAGCTGGACATTTCGAAGCACCCGAGCCAGAAGGCTGCATGCCGCGCACCAGACATCGGAAATCTTCGGGGATCAGGGACCTACGGCGATGTCCGAAGTGAACGAAACTGCCCCAACCCCCCCCCCCCCCATCCCGCCCCAAAGCGCAGTCCGAAACCACCGCGGCATAATACACACCGTGGGCCAACGACTAAGGCCCTCAAGGGAACTCCAGAAAGTTGGAATATGGTTTCAGGGTAGGATACCCTATAATTTACCATAAAGGGTTTAGGATAATCATATTCCAACTTTCTGGCTTTTACTTTTCTATCATGCTAGTGTTCGTCTAGGCAGCTTGAGAGTTGTGCCTGGGCCTCATACGAACACCGGACGATTTAAGCTTTAGACCCGGCATCGGTTTGACATCGGCCACGGTGGCCCCAACTTCAACTTAGGTGTTTAGGGATCTGCGAGTGATATACACAGGGGCCTTCATTTCCTCATGATTATAGTATACTGCGCCAACAAAGTCTATTCTAATTAATAAGGCCCCTGTATCAGGGATCTGCGAGTACCTCGATGCCCCAAACTCCAAGAAACTTCAGCCCTGTAAGCCAACGGTCATTGCCCCCTCGTAGAAACCATACAGGGCAGGAAAAGACCCACCTCACACACCACACCCCCACGAAAATGATGACACGTGATTTCGCAAGCCCGTAAGACCCTAAACCCTAAACCCTAAACCCTAAACCGAAGAGGTCTTAAGCCCCACGTCTTAAAACTTTGGAATCCCCCCAAGGTTCAACCCCTTTCTTCGGTCAATGCCAAAGTCTCTTGGGGCTGATCTTGGTACCTGAAAAGATTTCGAGTTCCCAAAGGTACCCTTCAGCACTATTCTGGGTTCTTGTTAACGGGTTACGATTTATTATAGATCCCTATGATGGTACCTTAAATCAAATCCCTTAACAAGAACCCAGTATTCCCCACCGGCTCTCTTTCCCGTTTCAGTGTTCTGGGGGTTCCTTATTATAACTGTGGCATACACTCTATCCCCAAACCCCATTCTAATTACTAAGGCCCCTATATTACCGCGTCTCTCTCCAGCTTCGGAAGGACCTGGAGAAGACCGAGCTTTGCGAAGTTCCGCAGTTTGGGTCAGCGGAAGATCTCGGACCGGATCAGAAAGACTCACGACCCTCAGCCTTAAAAAAGGGCCTACATAATTACCGATACTATTTTGAGGCGTTCCTTATTATAGCATGCTATACGGGCCATGAGGGTCGGTGGAATCGAGGGGCAACACTAGGTGCAGAACAACTCGGCACTGGTGTGGCTCTAGGAAACCGTGAAGCCCGAAGCTCGGAACCCTCAGCACTGAACTTTGTCGAAGTCCTACACCCTGCACACTGAAAAAACAGCTGCTGAAGCCGTTTACGGCCCGCTACTTGGCGGTTCAAGGGTAGTTATAAGTAGGGTTATAAGTAGGGTAGCTAGACTTATAACCCATATTAGGGGACTTATAACCCCACTTCTAACTACCCATGAACCTCCAAGTACAGCTCGCTAGGACTTCAAGAAGGGCCATCGGCAGCACGGCGGACTGAGAGTTTGGCGTTTCGCTACAGATGTTTCCAGGCTTACCATGCTCAGGGCTTCAGAGTTTCGGTGTATTTAGGGATTGTAGGTAGGTTTGGGGGTGAGGGCTTCTGGCTTAAAGGGGTAAGGGTGTTGGGAGCAATAGGGCTACCTCTCCCCCTCTCTCTCTCTCTCTCTCTCTCTCTCTCTCTCTCTCTCTCTCTCTCTCTCTCTCTCTCTCTCTCTCTCTCTCTCTCTCTCTCTCTCTCTCTCGGTCTCCCTGAATTTCCTCATGGGCTTCAGACAGCATTCAGGTTTCAGAATTTGCGACTTTGAGGGCAGACTTGGAGTTCTGGCATTGGCGGATCGTGGAGGTGGGGGTTTGAAAGAAGTCCATAATATATATATATATATATATATATATATATACATATATATATATATATCTATATATATATATATATATATATATGCATCCATAAAAGACAGCTAGCCTCGTCAAAATGAGGGCTAGGAAGGGCCTCATGGCTTTGAAAGATTGCTTCTCGCTTCTGTGAGCCTGGGTGGACACTAAAACTTGATGATTCCTCAACGGCCTCAAAAGCCTGAACCTTACGCCCTGCACTGTCGCCCACAGGTCTCCGCGGCATACGGCATGTCAGCGCACTCGGACCGGACTGGAATGCGAAAGTCACGCGACTAGGATGCCCAGTAGTACCCTTATTCCCTTTTTGTAGTCCTAGGTTCCTTATAAACTTACCCAATACCAAAAAGAGAGGCCCCTTTTTATTCTTAGGTTACTGGGTATCCTAGGCGATGGAGCGGCAAGGTCAACGGCGCCGTTAACTTGAAATCAGGGCCTGGTTCAGGGTCGTTTAGGCTAAGGGGCTCTTGGTGATTGCTTGCTGCAGAGGCCTTAGTAATTTCAATAGGGTTTTGGGGGATATTATACTACAGCTATAACAAGAAACCCCCCAAAACCGGGTTCTAATAATTGAGGCCCCTGCATAAGTGTAGCTGGCATCATCCGTCAGAGCTGCCGGAACACCATCCGAGACCCTGCTTTGCACGTTGGCTGGTGGAGCGGCAACATCGGCAAAAAGCCCGATCATGCACACCGTTGTTTTCGGGCGGGGGTGGGGGGGCGGGGGGGAAAAGAAGGGAAATACACAGAACATATATTTATATATATATATATATATATATATATATATATATATTTATATTTATACTATATTATACTATATTATACTATATTATATATATATATATATATACACATACATGCATGCATGCATACATACATACAAGTATACATACATACATACATACATACATACATACATACAGTTAAAGCCTCTGCTTATGTGTGTTATTACTATGGTTGTGATGGCAATACTATCATTACGAGTATTAAGCATGTTATTCTTATGATTGTCAATACTACTGCTATTGTGATTGTCATTTTTGTTGGTGGTGTTGCAGTCACAGTTATTCTTACTAATATGACTTCTCATCAGATAGCAACCGTGGTAAGTGTAATCATCACCCTTGTTATTACTCATGTTATGGTTGTTGGCTTGTTGATGTTATTCCTTTACCACTGCTATTACATTAAATATTATTGTGACTGGCTGGTCATTAGTTACACGATTATCATCATGACCTTTCATGATTGTTGACATTCTCCTTAAGTTAGTACTATGCCATTACTGTGGCTATGAATACTGATTTACTGGTATTGCTATTAACTATTGTTAAGTTTACCTATTTCTCGCCTCAGTACTCTTCGTCTTCTTCTGCTTTCGATTGTTCGTCTTCTTGTTCTTCTGGTTTGACTATGCTGCTGCTTCTTGGTATCGTTATTGGTGTCATCGTTGTCGTTATTGGTGCCGTTGCGGTCATCGTTGCTGTTCTTGGTATTGTTCTTGTTGTTGCTATTGCTCGTGCTGTTGTTATTTGTATCATTCTGCTTCTCCTTCTCGCAGTCTAGCAGTAGTCGTCGTCGCAGTATCGTAGTAGCAGTTGTTGTTGTCGGTGATGGTGGTGGTGGCCGTGTTCGTGTTTATGCTCGTGTTCTTTTTGGTGCTGGTGTTGGTGTTGGTGTTGCTCGTGTTGGTGTTGTTGTGGTGGTGGTTGTTGTTGCTGTTGATATGATTGCTGCTGGTGCTGCTGTTGTTGTTCGTGGTGCCACCGCGTCGACGAACACCGTCACCACCACCAAAGCCGCTACACGCCTCATCTTTTGACGACCGTCTACGTTGTGACGACTGGACTAGCAGGAAGTTCACACATGCATTCGGTGCGCGACCTTGGCTCGAGGTGCAGTAGCCACGGACTGCAGACTCTCGCTTTGGGTTCTGGGGGTGTACGGATTTAGCAGGGGGGTTGACATTTTCGGTATTGTGGTTCCAGGAGATGTTCCTGATTTGGATAGATTTGGAGCGGTTCAGATATGAAGTTTAGGGCTGCCCTTTTTGCCTTGGTTGGCTCTTACTGTCAGTCAGTGCCGCTGGGGCAGCAGACTGTGTTCCGTGGCAGGCGCGGGCTAGCTGAGACTATCATGTGAAGACTCGGTCGAAGCCAGAAAACCCGGTTTCTTATGGGGCAAAACTGGGACCCTTCACGAACCCCTCATTTGAGGAGATTCGTCAACTCGTCTTGAGTTCTGTTTTATGGTTTCATGATAAGTCGAAGCCTCGAAATCCTAAACCCTTCGAGCCCCTCAGCCGCAGCCCAAGATCCCGAACTCCTGAAGCACAAAAACCCCTGAAGGGAGCCTTGAACATAGGCCCTGCACCCCAACTCTGGCAACCCCCAAACCCGGAAACCCTCCCTCAAAACCGCACCTTTCTGGTGCAGGTTCGGGAATGACAGTGCCGATCCCGAAGAAGGCGAGACGTCGGACTCGAGTTCATGGGCTTCGGGGTTTTCACGGGTTTAGGGTTTAGAGCCTTTGGAGGCTTGGGGTTTGGGGTTCGCGGCTCTGGACTTTAGAACTTCTGCGCTTTGGGCTTTAACTAGCTTCCTGAGTGGCACCCTTTTGCCCTTTTTAGTTTAGGGTTTCCCTTATTAAGACCAAACAGCAGGAAAAAGGGTAGCCTTATCATAACTCACGCGGGCTCCGTCACTGGTGCACGGCGGACGCAGTGCAGCCAGCTGAGTTCGTGGTTTGGTCAGAGGGGTGAAGCACTAAAGAGGCCGGGCAAACGCAGCGTGCGAAGTCACTCTGCGTCCCTGTACAAACTGGCCTAGGGCCGCCCTCGCCCGAAGCAAAGCCTGCCCCTCAACTCCAATAACCAAACCGTCCAATGAGAAAGAGATCCCAAAATCACTCAAATCAATGCCACTACAAAACAGGCTCTGGAGCCGCAACTGCTTCAGGGCTGGTCGCAAAGCGCGACGAAGGAAAGAAAGTCTGCCGGCCACCGTTGGTGGAGCAGGCAAGAAAGCTACCGTGGTCGATGATACCCAGCCTCCCTCAGGACCAGCAACAAGCTACACCAGACCCTCTAAAACATGAAAAAGAAAAACCAGTTCGAGCCACGAAATAGCATAAGCATGGCAAGCCTTGGCGTCCTGTACAAAAAGTGCCTGGCAGACCTGGATAACAAAATCAGTTGGCAGATCACTTGGTGTCAGTGTCACTACATCTTTCCATCCGATCGGAACAAGCTCTTCCAAGTCACAACGCCTGGGAACCGAGTGTAGCTCCGATGGCTCCGTCGCCTCGTGCATGTCATCCTCCACATGGCCCGACGAGAGCCGGGAATCACAAGCTTCCGCAATGCCCAGATAGATGGCGGTGAGGGCTCGCTGTTGTGCCAAGGTTTGTTGATGAAATTCCAGCGCCGCACTGTAGGTAGCCGTGAACTCCACAGACCTGTTGTTGTTGACAAAAACAGCCAGAGTGTCGGCATGGTCGTTATTAACTGCCACCCAATCCTCGAAGGGGCCTTCAGTGAGTGTTTGATCCAAGTGTGAAGGAACATGTCGGACCAGGAATTGGTTACCGTCCAGTTGCTGCAGAAGCCCGGCCAAAATGCGCCAGAGGTCGTCGTCCGCGCAATGGTCCAAAGAGGAGCCCGCCAAAAGCTCATCCACACTGTCGACCACGTTCTGGCAATCAGACCATACAATGCAGGGAAGCCGATACTCAAGAGCCCAACGGACGGCCGAGATCATCGCCCAAATCTCGGCCCTGGGTGCCGTCTGCAACAAACCAGGAACATGGCCGCAAGCAACAGGCCGAGCCAGGCCCGCATGTACCACGCCCCAAGCTGCCAATGCAAGATCCGGACTACCAGGGTCCGAACAGGAACCATCGGTGAAGAGGTGCTGCCAACCAATCCCGAATCCCTCACAGAAAAAGACTCCAGAATCATCAACCAAGTTGTGTAACTGTGACCGCACTCGAGACAGATGCGGGTTCGCAGGAGGCAACAAATGGTGCGTGAAGCTGATGGGCAATCGAGGCCACATCTCACATACCCATTCATGTGAGCGTCGAATATCCGAAAATCTGGGACAACTGCATACCCGGTGCTCGGCATCATCCGGCACCAAACACAGCTCACAGAAGCCAGTCTGTGTGACGTCGAACTTGGCCTGCTGGTGTCCGAAGATGAACGCACCAGCTCGAAGGGAAGCTAATCTAGCGGCGTTGACCGGCGTCAAAGAGTCGATGTCGGCATGCAAAAGAGAAGGCTCAATACCCGAGAGGTCCCGCATAGTATCGCGGTGTCGATGGGCAAAGGCCACAAATTGCAACCAACCATGCTCGAGCCGGTGACGGAGCAGCAATTGTGGTGCAGCAAGTAAGTCGAGCACCAACCCTTCGTGGTCCGTCACAAGGGGCGGCCGCTGGACTGACCATCCAATCCGGGACAAGACCTGTAGCAGTTTTGTAAAGGGTCCGGGAAGCGAGCGACCATCGAAAAACATCATGAATTGTCTCCACCGGCAAAGGAAACCCGAAAGCTTCCCCGCCAGGCGACGAAGGTCGCAAATGCTGGTCCAAAGCTCGTAGAAGCCAGGGTCGGCACACATAGGTTGAGCAATCGAAAGCCGAAGCAAAGAGCTGACACCTCCAGGGCGGATGCGAAGAGCACCAGTAGCCTGTGCACGGAGATGCGTGAGGCGTCCAGCAGCAAGGGGACACCCAGAGATGCCATGTAGAGCACGTGGCCAACATTTGCCAGCAAGTGCCCGAAGCTTCAGGTGGGTCGGGGCGCGGGATCTTTTGAGAGCGGCCCAAACAGGAGCCAAGGCCTCACAACGATCAACTAAGGCAGCATTGCGAGTCTTGGGGCCAAATGCCAGGTAACCACCCAGCTCGCGAGTATGCTCAAGGACCGCGGGGCCGAGGGCCAGCAAAGCGCGACGATCTGATGGTGTCGTTGCCCAGCTATAAGTCTTTGGCTGATCGAGCTCCAACTCTAACAGATCCATGAAGCATTGAGTAGCCTGATAGCCAGAAGCAAGGCCGGCCGGTGTGACAGCAAGATTGACCAGATTGTCAACATAGCTCATTGCACGAACCTGCGGCGCGAACACCTGCATATAAGTGTGGTAGGCAAAGTCCGCCAGCAACATTGCAAGTGGGCTTAAGGGGCATCCTTCGGGAAATCCGGAGGTAGACCGTATCGGCTCACTGACCTGACCTCTGATGACGATCCTGTGCTCAGTCTGCTGGAGGAAAGAAGCCCACGGATTCAGAACACTCCACGGCACCCCGGCGCGAGCCGCCACCGCCAGCAATGGGAGCCGAGGCAGGTTGTTGAAGCACTTTATGATATCCGTGGAAACCCCCAGCAGCGGGGCATCACCTTGAACAGAAATCTCGATCTCGGCTTGAATGCCATACCACAGCGATGCAGCTTCACGGCCTGGGACAAACCCGTGCAAGTCGTCAGGGAGCTGAGAGCGAAGGAGGCGCAGGATTTGGCGGGAGCGCAACCCCGCCCAAGTCCGATAGACAATCGAGTATAAGCAGATCGGCCGAAAGCCGTGCACATCAGTACGACCGTTGCCCTTGCAAAGAAGGCAGACAAAGCCAGTGACCATCTGTTGTGGCCAAGGACGGGAGTCCGCCTCCAGCTCTGCCAAAAAGGCAAGGAGCTGCTCAACACGAGCCGGAGGCATCAGCAACAAGTCCTGTTTGGCCCAACCGTCTGGGCCACGAGCGGCTCTGGGCTTGAAGCGGCGGACGGCACGGAGCCACATTTCACATGTGATTGCCGGCAGGGAAAGGGAGTATCGGGGGAGAAATGCAGTAGCAAAATCCAAGAATCGCTGCCAATGGGAGGCCGTATGGTTGGCATGTTTTTGCCACCGGGAGGCCCACAAACTTGTGAATTCGTGGTGTATATCGGAAACGGCAGAAAGCACCTGTGTTTGCTCAAGGCGCTCCGGAACACCGGGGATTGCAGTGGACAAGGTGCACACAACATCATCATGGGAGAGGATCTCCACAGGGGCGCCATCCACAGTCCAGGTGGAGGTTCCTCGGAGGTCAAGGGAAGATTCCAGGTGCAAATGGTCACCCGAAGGCGAGGATGCCAAAATGGCATATTCACGGGACAACGTCAAGGTGTCCACCTGTTCCGGGGCAGGGTCGCGCAATTCATGAAAGACCTGGGCCATGGAAGCATCGTACTTGCTTTGGAGGATCCGGCTTCGATTCTGAAGGTGCCAACTCTCAAGGTGTCGGAAATTGCAGCGGAAGTCCTCAAAGACACAAACAGCTGTTTGGAGGTCTGGGACCGCTGAGGGCAGGAGGTTGGGGCTGCCCACGAGGCGGTGTTGGGCCACCACCGTAGAAATCCGCCACGGAAGCCACGAGCAGAGCAGATGGAGCCCCAAAGAGAAGATCGATATTCCAAGGCTGAGGCAGAGCAGCTGCCTGCATGGAGTGCATGCTTGAGCTGCTTGAGCGACTGGAGACGCCGGAGCTGCTGGAACCAGCGGGTAACTTCGAGGCAGAGGCCATCATGCTGCCTCTGTTCCTCGCCTGGCCTGCTAGATTTGGGAATTCGGCAGGCATTGCGGACAGATTGAGGTTTCAAGCGCTTGGCCCGGCCAAAACAAGCCGTAGGAATATGGTCGCCGTACATATCGGGGGCGAAACCTTGAAGGCTGCGCTCCACAGCATGCGAAAAGCCAGCGAACCATTGGGTTGAAGTCGGAGCATCCACGGGAGTATGGTCCCCCATTCGGTGCCAGGCACCGACGTCCACACTTTTCCACTGGATTTCCGAGGGCAAAGGCCAGGTACGCTCCAAGGCAGTAGAGCGAGGGAGCTCGAACCCAGCAATTAATGTTGAATGCTCCTGAAAAACGTCAACAACCGATGCTTGTACAAGGCAGGCGGCAGCCTCAGGCGAAAGCCAAATGTAGTCGTGGCGAGTAGCTGCTTTGCAAGTCGGCTTGGGAGGTGTGCCCCAAAGGCGCTCGGCCAAACATTGGAGCTCGATCCAGCCGTGTCGGCGCCACACTGCGCATTGGTCTAAGCTGTCAAAAGCATGGTTGAAGTCACCACAGATGACTCTAAAGCCACGGGCTCCCAAAACAAGCTCCCGAGTAAGGAAGCTGAGCATACTATCTGTATCGGCTTTGGCATTCGGCCAGGTATTGCCTGGTGCATAGCCGTAGACAGTGGCGACGCGGAGAGGAATCGCGTGGTGGTAGTGGCAGGCCAAAACCAATCGGCCAGTTTCGTACAAGCCAGGGCTCCAAGGCAGTTGGAAAGGCCGGCACGGCAAGCTTGAAACCTGAAGGACCCCTGTCCATGCACCGGCCCAGGAGCTGTTTGTTCGTAGCGGGGCCGGTGCCCCAGCAATTGTGCGGGCCTGGTGGCCCAAAGCTTTGGCAATCTGGCGGAAGCGAGCACAGGATCCCGGCATGGTAACAGCTGATAGCTGAGTTTCGGCATAGCAATGGATGCCTGCATATCGGGCGGAGCCGGGGTGAGCGGCAAGTTGCTCGTAGAGGGCCTCCTTGCCACGCAAGCCAGATGGGTTTGAAACACTGATGTTGAAGACCTCAGTAGAGGCGGCAGGTCCAGGATGGGCCGCCTCGCCGATGCGAGAGACCATCGGGCCAAAGTAGAGATTATCAGAGCACGCCTGGCGAACCCGATCACAGGGCAGTGCACTGGAAGATGGCAGAAGGCAACCGGCGGCATCGGCCAGTGTACCAAAGGCCATGAAGAAAAGCACAAGAAAACGCAGGCAGGAATGGAGAGCCGGCCCGCCCTTGCATGCAGAAGAGCGGCCGGAGCGCCCTAGTCAACTCGTTCGATGCTTCTTGTCAGAAAAGAGAGCCTGAATCTGCTCCATTTGCCCGGCCAATTGGGCTGACATCTGTGTAGAAAGTTCAGTCTGCAAACCCAGCACAGCGCTTTGCACAGAAGCTTGGAGCTCGGTTTTGACCTTAGTGAGCTCGCGATGTTGTTCATTGACTGTGCCAGCCAGTCCTTCAAGCTGCTTGGCTTGATCCGCAACCTTGGTCCCAAAGGTTTGAAAGAGACCTTCAAACTTCGTGTTCTGATGCTTCAGCTCCGTAAGACCAACTTCTAGCTGGTGCAGCCGATGATCATGTTCAGACAACCCCGGGGGGGGCCCCGATGGCTGCTGAGCTGCAACTTCCTTGCGGACTACCTCCTGAAGGCTCTGCTTAAGATCATCTTGTATTTGGGTCAGCTTCGTGACTGCTGCTGAAGAAGATGAGGCAGCCTGGGAAGGAGCCGACACAGAAGTTTTGGCCGTGGACCAAGGGTCCAGGCCACCAGCCCAGGGATCCGCGAGCACATCCGGATCATCATCAAGGAGGATGGCCTTCTTGGTACGAGCCGAGGCATAGACTGGCTGCACTGGTGGGCGGTTGGCAGCTCCTACCTCACGAACCTTAGTAGCCAAGACAAAGTCGGCACCCAAAGACAAAGCTGGAGCTGGCGGATCCTCGGCGGCCCCAACGAGCCATGCCGCACCTGCCGAGTCGCCGCGGTCTGGCTGAAGAGGCTTGCAAGTCCAATTCCATTGCCGGAGTAGCTGCACAAGCGCAGTCCTTTGAAGGCCGTGGGGCAAAGGATGCAGCCGATAGTGTGCCTGCACGCGGATTTTCATGAATTGATGTTGGGGCCGCATTGCCTCGAACACTGCTTGTTCGTCTGGTTCCTTGGTTCTGAGTCCATACCGATTGCCAAGTCGGGCCAGAGCAATGGCTTTCTCGGTTGTGCGGAGCACCTCGTCGACAGCAGCATGAAAAGCAGTGCAGGCTCCATTGCAAGTGGGGTCACGACAGACCTGGAGCGCTGGAAGCTGTTGCAACAGAAGCCTGATGGGAGCCTCCACAATCTTGTCCCAAGGAAGGGCCGTTTCATCCTTATACAGGCACATTTTGCGCACAATCGTAGCCAGGTGCTCAACCTCGGAGATGTCAGTCGAGGCAAGCTGGATACTATCATCACCCAGCTGGACCAATGTCCCAGTGACAAGCACAGCTTCCTGCGTCGGAGTGAAAACAGCAGGGTACCTTACTGGTGTCAGTCGAGCGGTGCCTGCATGTTCCTCAGGGATTTCCGCAGTGGTCACCAAAGCCAGGGGGTCCACGGAAAGGTTCCGAGCATGTGCAACAAAAGGCAATGCCTGTGCAACCGAGCAGAAGCAAATGCCTGTAGCCTGGGCTTTGACCTCCTCGAAAGACAGTTGGCCCAGCGGGGACCCCGATGTTGCCGCAAAGCTTCCCGGGGACAAGCGAAGCTGAGCCGGATCGATGTGGAGGGGAGCTTGGGTGGGGCGTTTGCTCACCTTACTTTTCTTGGCCTTGGCTTTAGGGATCTCGGTCCCAAATTTGGTCTGTGCTCGCTGCTCCACGTGTGCCTGGAGCTCGTCGGTGTGCACCCACTTAAACATGCTCTGGGGCTTTGAGGCACAAGACTTCAATGCCTGCCATGGGTTGCGCTGTTGTAGCGCCTGGCCAATGGGGCCTGCACCGACTTTTGTAATCGCAGCCTGCACTCGACTGGCTGCCTCCTCAACCGGTACACCCTTACTGACAAGAAGTGCCTGCAATTCTTTGTCCTGCTCGGCAGAAAGCCCGCCCTGGCCGCGCAGACCCGACAAGTGCGGAGGGAACTTGATCAAGAAATCCACAGCCCAGGCCAGCAGCGTGGATTCTGGACGGCCCAAGACAAGTGCAGCAGCATGGGCTAGAACGTATGCCCCACAAGTCCAACTCTCCTCTTGCAGCCAATGGTGCTGCACTGCGAACGACAAAAGAGCCGCCTGGTCAAGATGGCAGAAGGTCTGTGCCAGTAGCCGGGCCGTGCTGGAGCAATGACCCGGAATACTATCCCAGAGGGTGGCTTCCACGCCAGCTGGCCCAGCAAGGAGGACCAGCAGTGCCCAGTGTCCACATGACACAAAAGGAATCAGAATCTGTGGCCCCTGAGGAAGCACGGGCTCCGTGGGCGGATCAAGTAGAAAGTCTTCCCCAAGAAGTTGCAGGAGTGTTTCCGCAGCACAGGGAGGCACCAATCGGAAGTTGCCAGAGGCAAGTGGAGAATTGGTCCACAACTCAAGGCCGTACCAAATGGTAAAGTCAGAAGCGGCAGCAGTATGCAGTGCATCCAAAGGGCAGGGCAACAAAGGCTGTGCAGGAAGAGCTACCAGCTCCGAAGGGCCTGTCAATGAAACCGAAGGGCTATGATCAGCAACTGCAGAGGGCTCAATGCAAGTGATTGCTCGAGGCGTATCGCCAGCCAGAGCAGCGGCCTTCTTCAGAACATTCAGTTGGTACACCGGCCCAGCAGGGGCAAAGGCAAGCCTTGCAGAACGAGGCAGCACACGACCATGAAGCGAGATCTGGACCTTAAAGCCTGGGGGCAGCAGGGTGGCCTCAGCACAGGCAAGTTGTCGCACCGTCACAGGCCCCGTGGCGGCCTCAGTTCGCATCCCACTGGCATCACAAAGAGACAGCTGGCCTCCAGAGACCATGGATGGCAGCAGCCAAAAGTCCTGGCGTTGTTGCAGAAGCAGGCTTTTGAAGCGATGGATCTCAAGGGCCGGGTCGGTTGGCAAAAGCCCGAAGCAAGGCGCAGTGGCCTGGGTCACAGAGGCCCACACCCAAACAGCCTGCAGTGGGGCCGTGAGCTGGCCGATCAGGCACAGAGCCGCGCGAGGTTCCACCGGGAGCTTGAAGGTGGGAGGCAAAGTGTTGAGAAACCCTACCTCTTGAGGGTGCAAGAAGCGCATGCCTGGACAAACCTGTGATGGAACCCCGATTCCCTTTAAACCCTGGGCTCGAAGGCAAGACTCACTGAACGGGCGACTGCGGCAGCCACACGGGCAGGGTCGCAAGGCATTGCCCCAACTGTGCAATGCTGCCGGGGCTTGGCCCGATGCTGTCAATGTACGAACCTCGGTTCCAAAGGCTGGGTTTGCATATGCTTGTGTCTCCGGGCATCCCAGAGCAGAGCTTCTTCCTCATCGGCAGGCCACACCGGCCACTCCGGTACGACGTCTTGCACCACAATCGATGGTGAGTGAACTGGCCAACTGCCAAACTGTGTCACAGGCAGGTCTGTCGGTAGCAAGACCGCCCACCAACGGATCCGCGATGAGGCCCATTGGTCGGCAAGGTCCAGCGTGGTTTGGTGCAGTTGCAAGCCGGCTCGCGTCGCAAAGTCACCCAGCAGTTGCTGCAGGGATGGCAGCTTTGCTAAGTCCACAGGACCCTCCAAAACAAGGCCGCTAGCCTGAGAGTGCCAGGCAAGTTGCAGCACATGGCTAAGAAGAACCCACCTAGGGTCACCCGAAGAAGGGCCTAAACCGAACCTAGGGGAACCCTGGGCAGGAAGGCCGGCACAAAGCATGCTGCGGATCTCAGGGGAGATCATGTGCAGCCTAATGCGTGTGTCACGATCAGCGATGTCACCTTCCACCACCACTGGAAAGTTCTCTCTCAGCACTTTGCAAGCAAGCCGGTTGCAATCGACAACAGCCAAGCTGCATCCCCCAATCTGCTGAAGGCCGGAAGTCATACCCCCAACACCTGCACAGACATCCTTGGCCGAATGGTAGGACTCGCTGGTGAGGTGTGGCCTGAGAATTGCCACTGTATCTGCCTGAAGGCGCAAGAGGTGTACACCATCGAAGAGGCCCATATACTGAACCTCATACAATGTGTAAATCCGATCAGCCTCAAAGGTTCCCAAGCAACGGCACGTCTCACAATGCCAAATGGCTGTCATTTGTGCCCCATGAAGATCAGAAGACTGAACATGGACCACCACCACATCGAAAAGCGCTCCGACTGAAAGCCCCGACAACACAGGGTCACCAATCATTGCGGTTCGGCTCTCTCGAGGATCTGTTGCTAACGGCACTACCCCTGGTAGGACTCGAGCCCAGTGCTGGTAGCCTTATCATAAAGGGGCTACTCAGAAGCCAAGTTAAGTAATTCCGTAGCATGGCGCGCGTTTTGGGCACCGGGTTGAGGGTCTCCAGGCTCTTCAGGGTCGGAGGTTCTGGTTCCGGGAGAGAGAGAAAGGCCCCTCTAAGCTGTAAAAACTGCAAGCCCTGAACCCCTGGTTTAGGGTTTAGGATTTAGGGTTTAGGATTTAGGGTTTAGGGTTTTGGGTTCTAACTCTACCCTTTTTTGCATCCATGCTGCTCCTGCGTCTGCAAGGAAGGGTTCGAAACTCTAAACCTCCCGACGTCTAAGTCTTGGCCATTTTGCTTCCAAAGGGTGAAACCTTCAAATGGAACTTTGAGCTTTTCAGGTACCTGACCGCACCTCAACCATCAAGGATTACTACAGGGGCCTCAATAAATTACCATTACCATTTTTTGGGGGGGTCCTTATTATAAGTATAGTATACTGGACCCTAGAACCCAATTCAAATTGTCAAGGCCCCTCTATTAGGGATCCCGGGCGTTTGCTTTGCGATTCAAGCTTTGTCTTTTTAATCCAGAGAAACCCCGGATGCCAGCAGCCGAAACCCCGATTTCACTGTAGATCATCGAACCCGGGGACTACAAACACATCCTACAGTAAACCCCATAAAGTTGGAAACCGGGTTAGGGCCAAATAGTGCTGGGATTCCCTATACATTAGTCTTAAGGATTGAGGCTATTGGGTTTCCAACTTTCTGGCTTCTACTGTAAGCCCCAAAACCCCAACTGCCCACAAAGCCCTGGGACTTCAGGCGTTTATGATACAATCCCTCAAAGCCGAGTGAGGGGTTTATATTCCTTAAACCCCATTGAGGGGTCTCTATCATGGGCCGATAAAGCTCATAAACCCCAATGAGGGGTTTACTTAGGGGTACTTAGAAATAGTTTTTAATTTTTTGTTATTATAATCCCTAAGAAACAACTAAAATTATAATTTTTGCTAGGGTTCAGTATAGTTTATATAAGGCCCTAAAACCCAAAAACCTTGGCAGCTGGTTGCGACTCCAGACAGGTCCTCCGTGAACTCAACGAGGCCCATCGACGCACGCAAGCCCGGGAGTAGGGGTTTAGGGCGCGGCATTTCGGGCTAAACCCTTAACCCGAAACCCTAAACCCTAAACCGTTAAGGTTAAGGATTTGGAGCTAAACCCTAAAGCCTCAGAGAAGCGCTTGTAGGTCACCTTGCGGAAGCCCTTATCGATCCTTAAGGTTAAGGATTTGGGGCTGAGGTGCCTAGGCTTTGGGGCTTAAGGTTAAGGACTTCGTGTTGAAGTGTTTGGAGGGTTTGGGGCTAAAGGGTGGGCTTTAGGAGGCTTGCGCCGTGGGCTGAAGAGGTGCGGGGCGGCTCACGTATAGATCGAAGAGCCGAGGATGGAGGAAGCTTTGGGTTTTAGGTCTCTTGGAGCCAGGGCTTAACGGGTCAAGTTTTCCCGGATTTGAGATCTTCGGGATTTATGAGTTGTGACTTTCTGTCTCTCGAGCCAAACCCGAAGCTGCGGGCCCACTGTATCAACCTCGGAGTTCGAGAGGTTGTCAGGATTAGGGTTCGGGTATAGGGTCTTGGCTTGCAGTCATTAATCGTTCAACCCGCACCCCATTAACTTAAACGATCTGATAAGATGTCCATCGATGTTTGGACCTGTTCAGGTCTGGAACCTTCGGGAATCGTTCTGGGGTTTACTTGTAGTGTTTATGATGAGGTTGTCGCAAGGCAGGCAGACAAGTTGCTGCCATTCGGGTGCTGCGGTGCAAACAGAAAGCCGGAGAGAGTGTGAGAGAGGCAGAGAAAATTCACAAAGCCACAGAATAGAACATACAGCGAAATACTGCAACACCGCAGCGATTATCTGCAGGGACGAATGGAAAGAAGATAGCAGCAGAGCACCCAAAGCCTACGTCTAGAACGCACGCGAATGTTTCTTGTCCCCAGGAGCTTGATGGAAGACTGCGGGACGCGTCTGGCCACAGCAATCTTGAAGAAGCTGCGAAGAGGATCAATTCCACTCTGAATGAGATGGCTAGCACCTTGGCTGTGCCAGATGTAATCCTGCAGATAGGTTGCTAAGACGGCGCTGGCACATGTGTCTGTAGAACTGTGGAGGTGCACATGTATCTATACATAAGTATACACACGCGCATACTTGCATGCATAAATGTTTTCATGCATGAAAGCATGCATACACACATCCTGTACCATAACGTGGCATGACGTAACACAACATAAGCACATACACCGACCTCCATTGAGGGCGATAGCAAAGGCATGTCAGTTCCTGCTTCTATGGCAGGAAACAAGCCGTCGTTATGAGGGTTTCGAGTCCAGTTTTTGTATGTTTGTGTGGTTAAGATGCTAGGGGATGTCAGGGATGGTGCAGAATCCGGATCAAGCAACATGCGGCGGCAAATCAGCGATTTGGTGGTAAGAAGAGACCGATCCCCTAAACCCCAAATTCCGGGCGACTGAGCCTCATACGGCCCTACAGCTCGAACTCGTGAAACTGTATCGATTCCACCCTCCTGGCTCGTGTCTCCAGTTTGGATCCCTCCTTCAGGTTTGTATGACGTTCAGGGTTTGGCGTCCTTATTCAATCAGGTCTAGCTTTAGGGCAATACTCGTAGTAGTAGAGCTATGCAGGGACTAGGAAGGTATAGCATTGCAACGGTGGCACATTCAGGCCATTCGTCGGGGCCCTAAGTTGCAGACCTGCCCAACCGTCACTAATATAGAAGCCTAGACAACTACCTATACCATTTTGGGGGTTCCTTGTAATAACAACAGTATAATACGCCCCAAAACCCTCTTTTAATTATCGAGACCATTGAGCTTTACTCATGCTCTCTCGCGTAAACCTCGAGCAGACCTTCCCGGCTAGCGCGGGTCAAGCTATAGGTCTTAAAGTGGCGAAGCTTAAGTACCAAAGGCCTTACACACCATATGAGTTTAGGGTTTAGGATATGGGTGGTTGTCAAAATTATGGTTCATTTTTGGGCACCCTAAATATTAGGTGCCGTATCATAATAAGGACCCAAAACGGGACCCGAATATTGACAACCACCCATATGACAGGTCAAAGTATACCCTACACCCTCAATTGCAGTCGAAGCTGTGAGCTCCAAGCGAAGATTGCTGCCCTGAAGGTCTGCTAGGATTGGATGGAGCCGTCCGAATGCAGCATGGCATCAGTCTTGTGAGTGAAGGGCGTTAGGGTTTAGGGGCCCCATTTTAGGATGTTTGGTCGCAGGGTGTTAGGCTGCAGGGGTTCAGGGTTTGGGGCCTGGGTCTCAGGGTTCAGCTTTTCGTTCAGGGGTTGAGTGTGGGTGTCTTTTACTCTCCCAACTTCTTCAAGAATCCCTAAACCCTAAACCCTAAACCCTAATCCAAAAGCTTGTGGCATCTGTGTGCTGCGATAGAGCAGGGGTGCCAGATTTTTACAGGGGCTCCGAGCTCAGGGGCCTTGGCCCCTAATCCCCAAGCCCCATAAACCCAGCTGCTGAGGTATGGCTCCTTCTGCAGCGGGATCAAGACGGGATGTTCGGATTTGGATTTAACTTTCCTGGGTGATGTGGAGGGCGAAACGGCCATCTCAATTCTCCAGATGCTTGCTCGCAGACAAGCGCAAAGCCCTAGTCCACGTCCGCCTCCGCAAGTATAATGAGGCTATCTTCGGAAGCACTGCTTACCCCTTAAAGCTTACTGACTTCCCAGCTTCCTTGAGTATGGGTTGAGGGTTCAGGTGCTTGGGATGGCTGGGTGAGCTAGGTTTAAAGGGCTCAGGGTGGAAGAGTTGCAGAGCTCTTTTGAGATTTTACACACAGGCAGGATAGAGTGTTTCAACTGTGCAGGCTCGAGCACCTAAACTTAAACCCTAACCCCTAAACCCTTGTATAGTATAGTTTACTCATAGGCCCCATAGTAGTTCCTTTGTGGGATTACCTTATAAGGATTCTACATATGAACCCCCAAAAGGAACTACTTTGCCCCTACAACACATCCCTTTGAGCTCTGTTAAACCCTACAAGGCTATATAATGGTTATATAATAGCTATATTAAGGGTATATACCTAGGGGTCCTTATTAAGGGTATCCCTTTGAGCTCTGTTGGAGTGGAGGGCAGGGTTCAGGCTTACAGTTCGACGGAACTTTTACCCCGAAAGTTTAGGGTTTAGGGTTTAGGGTTCAAAAGGCTCCCAACCGCTCCCCGCACAAGCCCAAACCCTCATCCCTATAGTAGAAGCCAGAAAGTTGGAACATGGTTTTAGGAGGATTAGTGCTAGGATCCCTTATACTTTCCCTTAAGACCATGAGGACAAAGATGTTCCAACTTTCTGGCTTCTACTATACACCCTTCCATCCGCAGCCGTAAACCATCCACCCAGCAAACTCCGTGTGAGTTGCGAGAACAAGGTAGCATTTGGGGGCGAGGCTCACAGACGAGCCCCATTATCATAGGAGGCCAAAAGGGGTTTCAGCTTATGGGGGTTTCCCTACCCCAAGAATCTTAAACCCCCCCTTTGGCCTCCCATCACATTAGCACCCCTGGGCTAAGCTGGGAGCTAACTTGGGGTCGAGGCTGGGTCGGGGAAGGCGTAGGTCTGGGCTTTAGGGTTTAGGGTTACGGGGCCTCTATACCAACCCTCATTAAAACGCTAAACCACGAATCGAATTTCATGGTCTGGTTTTCCAATGTCTGTCTGCTGCTGGGCAAGGGATTCGTTCTCTTCTGGAGCGACTCCTGCCCTGCGGTGAGAGAGAGTTTAGGGTTTTGTTGGGGCTTCGGGCTTTTAGGGCTTCGGGGTTTTGTGACTTATGGCCATTTTTTGGGGGGCTTCGGGTCCAGGAGGGGCTTGTGGCATCTTCAGTCATCTTCTCGCTCCTCTGTACTGTACCAGACATAACCACTAGACCCTAATACTACCCAGAGGCCGCAAAGTAGTTCCTTTGGGGGTTCAGATATAGAATCCTTATACGGTAATCCCAAAAAGGAACTACTATGGGGCCTATGAGTAAACTATACTATACTGGGCAGGGGTCCTGGGCTGCATCGTCTCGCAAGCCAGCGCAGGAAGTTCGAGAAAATTGCAGACGACTTCGGCTTCCACAACATCACGAAGATTCACCAGGCATGAGATTGGGTTTAGGGTTGACGATTTAGATTTTCCAGGCATAGTTTAAAGGCTTAGAAGCTTAGAATATTTGCCAGGCATAATGCTGGGTTTGATAGGGTCTTAGAAGGGTTTTGTTTTTGCGTGTGTACGAGAGCGTATCAGGATGTAAACCTGTGGATAAGGGTCTGGGATCTAGGGTCTGTGAACCCTAAACCCCACACCCCCAAACCTGTTGGAGAACATGGGATGCAGGATATAGAGCTTCGGCTTGGGTTTGCAAGGCTTAGGGTGTTGAGTGTTGAAGGGTGAGAGCTTCCACCTGATTGGGTGTAGCTGCCACTGGAGTTGTAAGGACAGAGGAGGGCCCAAAACCCTAAATCTCTAAATTCAGACACCAAACCTAAACCCAAATCCCTAAATGGTTTTGTCGGTCGGTGCTGAGGTGTAGGGCGTTTGTTCGGGTTAGGCCTACTAAGGCCGCAAGCCTGAAGACTAGATGCAGACATAACCCAAACCTGGGGCTCTAAACCCATCAGAAGACGTTACAAAATTGAAAAAACCCTAAACTCTAAACCCGAAGCCCTAAAGTTCAGGCCGAAGACGTTACAAATTCCAAGCCGGACATTGAAAAACCCGAAAGCCACGTCGCTCAAACAGGCGAACCTGCCACTCCTCAAGCTCACCGACAGAGAAGAGAACCTGGAGGCTCCGTCCTCGTGCGCGCATAGGGTTTAGGGTTCATGGGTAGTTATAAGTAGCGTTATAAGTCCCCTATTATGAGGTATAAGTATAGTTACCCTCCTAGTAGCCCTACTTATTTGAATACTCTGAGAGCTCAGGGGTATTTTTTGGGGGGGTTTGGGGCGAACCCTGAACCCTAAACCCTAAACCGTGAGGGCTGCGGCACAATCATGGAGTGCTGCTTGATGCCCTTAAAGTCAAAGCCAGAAAGTTGGAATATCATTATCGTAACCCCTTTAAGGTAAATTCTAGGGGATTCTACCAGTAATCCATATTCCAACTTTCTGGAGTTCCCCTTAAGCCAAAAGCTCTACTAAGACCCCTCCTAAACCTCAAACCCTCAACAGCTATGCCGAATGGGAAAACCCGAACTCCAAGACCACGACGGGTGACTTCGGCCGGCTTCCTACGAATACCAGACCCCGAAACCTGAACTGTGAGCTCAGGATCCCAGAACCCGAAACCCCCAAAACCCTAAGCCTCTAAAAGCCCGAAGCCCTAAACCTTCAAACCCTAAACCCGAGACCCTAGAGCCCAAAACCCTAAAACCCCAAAACCCTAAACCCGAGACCCCTTAAAGCCCAAAACCCTAAAACCCCAAAACCCTAAACCCGAGACCCTAAAGCCCGAAACCCTAAAACCCCTTAAAGCCCGAAACCTTAAAACCCCAAAACCCTAAACCCGAGACCCCTGAAAGCCCGAAACCCGAAACCCTGAAAGGTTGATCTCTGCGTCAACAACGAGCTGGGGATTCGGAATTCCCTGCTTTTGGACGCGCCTCCAAGCTGCAGTTTGCGAGTCTGGGTTTCAAGCGTTCCCGTGTTTTGGGCGGATGGGGTTGAACTGTCAGGATGTAGGATATGGGTTAGAAGCTGCCCCCACCCTGCAATAGTGGTATAATAGGAATACAATAGGGCCCTAATATAATCCTTATAGTAGCCTTATAGTCACTATTACAGGGTGGGGGCAGCTCCTAAGGTATGGGGCGCGAGGTCCAGAGTTTGCAGTTTCGGGCCTTGGTTAGGGGATGTTGGGTTTAGGGTTTAGGGGATGTTGGGAGTGTGAGTGGCTTTCTTCTTCGATTTCGTGTCGTTCTGGTAGGTGAGGACACTCTTGCGGTGCTAACGATGTAAAAAAACAAAGTAGTTCGGATTCACAGAAGAACTCTTCGCTGGTGTTCAGTAAGATTCCCGAGTGTGTCTGACTGAGCTCAGAGTGTTCTGATGGTAGTGCCACAAGCTTCAAGCCCCAAAACTTTAAGCCTTACATCCTACACCCGAAAAGCTGCAGCCCCAAAAACCCAGCCCGGTATTTCCACGAACAAGGCAGGAATCGCGTAGGTGGAAGCCTCGGGAAGCAGGTGGAAGCAGGGCGACCTAAACTTACAACTTACCTTAGAAGGGGCCCCCACCCTGTAGTAGTGGGATATAGGAATATAATAGGGCCCTAATCAACTCCTTATAGTCACTATTACAGGGTGGGGGCAGATTCTAAAGCTTACCATTATAATCTGTTGCAGCCGCGTAGACATTGTGTTTAGCGACCCATGAACCCAAGGTACTGCAGATACGACGTCCGTGTCCTCCAATTGGGCTGCTTAGTCAAAGACTGGGCGAAAGGGCACGACATCGTCGGCACGGCAGACGGATTCCTCAACAGCTTCCGGGCTGCATGCACAAAGCCCCAACCCACCCCCTACCCCGCCCTCTACCCTCTCTTGGCTTGGAAGTTTCTTTTATGCAGCCCCGAAGACCCCCCGCGCCCCCCGCGCAGCACAATCAGAGTAAGCGGGAACGTCGAGCGATGCGAATCTCCGGACTCTTGCGAGGTTACGCTTTCATGCTTCTGGTCGTCTTCTTCCTTCAGACTACAGAGCCACCTGTGGCATCTCGGAGAGGAGCATGTAGGACAGGCTTGTGGATCAGGGTGTGGGCTACGAAGGATTTTAGGGATGTGAATATGATGTTTGGGGGGAGGAGTGTCTAAGCTGGTTGAGATTTTGGTCCTAAACCCTACATTACATAAACCCTAAGGATTCGAGCTCTAAGCTCCAGCCCCCTCCCCCACCATGAAGCATCCGAGGTGCCCAATCTACAGTCCCTGGAGTGCGACCCAGTGCCCGTCTTGGACCGCATCTCGCCAGCGAGATGCTGCAGGTTTCAGCAGCTTCCGAGTTGAAGGTTCGGTTGACGTTGCAAAGTTGCCGAAGCTCTGTCGCAGATTCTGCTTCTCTTGCGAAGATGCCCACTTCGAACCAGATTACACCATATTATGCTATGCTATGCCTCTATACTTTGTAAACTTGGTTATCATGTACTAGAGCATGCGTACACTCAGCATGCAAAGCTCCGAAGCCATTCCTCGTCAACTGGGCAGGTGTGGGTTTAGGGTTCATCCCTCGCATTGCAAGCATGCCCGTGCTTCCTCGGACGCGAGACCCTTCAGGAAAGTGGGGCGACGAATTCGTATGGGAGACGAAATTCTTCTCCAATGCCCCGCGCTCAGCGGTGTCCTTTGCCGACGGCGGGTGTACATATCCGAGAAATCGGAGTCGTTTATTTGGCCGAGGGGGCCGTGTCCGTTTCGTGAAGACTGCAATGCAAGGGTCCGAATGATTAGTGACATGCTTAGCCTATAGTCCCTAATTGTGGCGAATTAGTTACACCGCCAGAGATATTGGGGCCCCTATGTTAGCCTTAGTTGCTGGAACTCCCAGGTTGCCTCTCCGGTCTCTGCCTCATTGCGTGACACGCTCAGGTACACCAGCTACCCAAGTCGCAGAACACGATGTCCATCGGTAAGCCTCCCAGTCCGCTGTGTCTGTCTGTGTGTGTGTGTGTGTGTGTGTGTGTGTGTGTGTGTGTGTGTGTGTGTGTGTGTGTGTGTGTGTTGGTGTGTGTGTGTGTGTGTGTGTGTGTGTGTGTGTGTGTGTGTGTGTGTGTGTGTGTGTGTGTGTGTGTGTGTGTGTGTGTGTGTGTGTGTGTGTGTGTGTGTGTGTGGGTGTGTGTGTGTGTGTGTGTGTGGGGTGTGTGTGTGTGTGTGGGGTGTGTGTGTGTGTGTGTGTGGGGTGTGTGTGTGTGGGGTGTGTGTGTGTGTGTGTGTGTGTGTGTGTGTGTGTGTGTGTGTGTGTGTGTGTGTGTGTGTGTGTGTGTGTGTGTGTGTGGTTGTGTGTGTGTGTGTGTGTGTGTGTGTGTGTGTGTGTGTGTGTGTGTGTGTGTGTGTGTGTGTGTGTGTGTGTGTGTGTGTGTGTGTGTGTGTGTGTGTGTGTGTGGGTGGGTGTGTCCCTTGTGCTTGAACCCAAGACTTAAACCTTAAGAGCTAGCTCAAGACTTCCGCGAAGCTTAGGTGAACTGCTGCTTGGATTCTTCCAGTTCTACACACAGAAGCTCGACTCATTGGGAACATGCTTTCGGTTCTGTAGGAGGAGTCGTTCAGACGAGAGCAGTGCCTGGCATGCCTTTCGGTCATTGGCCTTAGGGATGCCTAGTCATTCGCGGGCACCATGACTCCTGAACCCAAAGGCTCCTTGCCTTGTACTCCAAAGTAGGGTTCGTATGAGAGCCCTGTAAAACACCCAGGGTTTCTTGATCAGAGTCTCATATCTCCAGACCCGAAGCACTCCAGACATGACCGAGGAAGTTTGACTCAGACCAGCATGCTGTTTCAATTCGGCTGTCAATGCCTCAGAGTCTGTCAGTTAGGGTCAAGGCTTTATGAAGTTTGTGGTCTGGAGTTTATGCTTACGGTTCAGAGAACAATTTTCTTCTTTATGTCCCGAGTTGTAGAGAGTACGGATTTTGCCGCCCGGAGAACTCTAAATAGATCTGTGCATACAAAGTAGGTTTCAGACATGGAGATGCAAGTTATAACAACCACCAGTAACCAGTATCCCGAGAAATGCCAAATCTTCACTCATCAAGACTATTTTGGTCGTCACACTCTACGTAGCTTTTGGCGCCGCGTGGGAGTAGCTTTCCCTAAGTCGCATCGAAGCTGCTGTAGGTGGTGGACTGGCAAGGCAACCCCAAAGTAAGCTCGAAATCCCAGACCCTGAGCAGCACCCGTCGCCCTATATCTTCAGCATGGGCATGTAGAACGCAGGCCTGCAGAGTCAACCAGCCCCTAAACCCTAAACCCAGACTCGGGCTGAGGCTTGGCGCTTATTGCCGGAAGCCCCTAAGCCCTCTACGGCCCCATGCCGCGCAACCTGAACTCCTACGTCCGATCCGGAACACTGACAAAACCTGACGCCCCGAACACTACATCAAAGTGAGGGTTTTTGGATTTAGTGTTAAGGGTGGGGTTTGGGCGGGGCCCGGTTTCAATTCCAAAACCCCTCGAGGCCCCTGTGCCCTCGTCCCAAGCCATTGCAGTCCGGGCTTCATAGCTTACATGAGGGTTCAAGGGTATGTGGGAGTTTCCGAAAATGAGGGGTACCCCATTGTGGGTCCTTATAATAAGGATCCTACTATTCAAGGTACCATATTAGGATCCCCTATTTTCGGAAACTCCCATGTAAAGGCTCGAAAACCAAGTTCCTTTGTTCATATCCCTGCTTCTATTTGGGTGGTTGTCAAAATTATGATCCCTTTTTGGGCTCTTAATATAATACGGCACCTATTATTTAGGGTACCCAAAAATGGCCATAATTTTGACAACCACTTATTTAGCTTTCTCTAAAGTATTCCTTATGGATTTTTTGAGTCTCCAGGCCCCGAGGGGCTTGCACTATCGGGCCCCGGTCGCTCTACTCGGCTTTACACCTCTCCGGGATATGGGGTTTAGGGGCTCAGGGGTTTAGGATGAAGGGGCTCCGGGGTTTAGGAAAACGGGGCTCGGGGGTCTAGGATTTAGGGTTTACTGCACCCTGGTCTGGTTTTCTGAGCGGAGCGGCAGAAAGAAAGCTTAGTCTGTTTTTTCCAGGCTCCCTCAGAACTCAGCTACGTACACCCAACCCAAGCCCACCCCGATCTCGTCTTCTTCCCCGAGGTTTTGAATCGGGATTCGGGTTTCGAGATTTTGGGAAGTATTAGTAGTGCACACTAGTGCAGTAATGCCAACTGTGAAAATGAGCGAAGTGGTCAACTAAACCCTAAACCCTAAACCCCTAAACCCTAAACCCTAACCCCGTTCGTAGCTCCTGTTATCGAGGCAGAAGCCTGGACAGAACATCGACAAGTACTCGTTGCCGCTTGCTTGGCCGTGGTACTTAAAGGATCATGGGACTTAGTAACACTAGGGTTATTTGTAAGGCAACTATATTTATATATACTTATGACCCCAATTAAGGTACTTATAACCCTACTTAGTAAGTCCCATGATCCTCTAAGCAACGTTCGTTAGAGCTGGGAGGTCCTAGACCCTCAAGGATGCAGCTCCAAATCGGAAAGCCCAACCGCCAAGTACAAAAACCAGCCAAACCCTAAACCCTAAAAAAAAAAAGTAGCATCTTTTGGAGTCAAAGGAGTGGTGCATTGCACTTTTAAAAAACGTATCATCTACACCCAAGCTCGAAAAATGGGCGGATCACTCCGCCGGGATGCTGAGTGGCAGGCATGATGCTGAAACCCTTGCGGAAAATGAGGTATCGGAGGGACCTTCAATACTACGGTCGGTTTTGGTAGGACCACAACAAGGAGCCCCTTCTAAGCCCTTCTCCTAAATCCTGAAACCCTTCAGCTCCTGAAACCCAAGCCTGAGACCCTAAGCCACAGGACCCCCCTAAACCCTAGCTCTAAGCCATGAACCCCTAAGGCCTAAACTGAACCCTAAACCCCAAACTTAGATAGTGAACGGGGGAACTCTAAACTTTTTGGCCTTATATATCAGATCTATGATCTATCTTAGAAAGTTTGAACTTTTTTGGCCCGGTTGTTGAAGAAGAGAGCACAACAAGAAAGCCCAATCTCCCCCAGATCGTGCTTTCATCAGACGCAGACATGTGTCTTCCGAGAAGCTTCTAAAATGCAGGGTTTAGATCATCAACCGTAGTGTTGCATCTGTATCAACGCGCCTCGCGATTAAGACACCAGCACACTGAAAGCCTTCACCAAAAATCTCTAAGGCTTTAGTCGTTGCGGGGCCCTCAAAGGGAAAAGGGTATGATGCTAAACCCTGAACTCCAAACCCTATACCCCAAACCCCAAAGCTTGCCGAGGATGCAGGAGGCTACCAAGGAGAAGTGGTACCTGGAGGATCCCTTCGATCTCAAGCACAACCTAGCAGGCTTACCCCCGTAGCACCTGAAATCCACCCTAAACCGCTAACCCTTAAGCCCTAAACCGAATCAAACCCGATGATGTCCTAAAGAACACTGCAACGCCCTTATAACTTATAACAGCCTTGAGCGGGGGCTTTCCCTACATGTGAGGTTTGTCACGCAGGGTTTAGGGCTGGGGCTTACCGAAACCCAGAGCTGCACCCGCTACATTTCCATCAGATTTACCCCAGATCCCAAAGAAACTCTAAATCGCTGGCCCTCAAAACGGGTTTTAGAAGCCTGGATCGTAAGCACCCTGCACCCAAACTTCAATTGCTTGCAGCCTGCGGTCTTGAGGTGTTTGGGGCAAGACTAAACCTTAACGACAGGCGCTTGCAGCCGGGCGGGCAGACGGCGGATTGGTGAAGTGATGCAAGCAACGTTGCAGTGGACGCTGGGATCCAAATGTAAGCAGCCCTGGTTGGTAAATGTATAATTTGGGCATGATTCTGGAGAGGCTAACAACAAAGACCTACTTCATGTCAAGTTCAGGAGTAGAACGGTGCTGTTGTTGCTGATGTTTCAGCTTGGCAAGGTTTCCATGATAAAATTTATGCACATCTGTATGCAAAGGATATGCGGATAGATGGATAGATCTTTTTGTGGGTGTGTGTTTGTCTGTGTGTGTGTATATGCAAGTGAAGTCCGGTCTTACGCCGACGCATTGGTGCTTATCGGTCTAAGCACAGGAAAGGGCGCTTCATGGTTCTCCTGATGACGTCGTGTTGGGTTTCTTAAAGACAAGACCCTAAGCCTGAGACCTAAACCCTAGATCAATAATGCTAAGGCCCCAGACCCCAAACCCTGGACCTACGACCCAAAGCCTTTAAGCACCGTTAAAGCGGGTCCTGGCAACAAGGCCCGGAGCCCTCGATTCCTCAATCCCTCAATCCAATTACATCCCCAAAGATTGCTCAAAAGCTTCAGGTTTAGGGTTCAGGGGTTAGGGTTTAGGGGTTAGGGTTTAGGGTTTAGGGGCTTCACACCCAAAGCGCCTCGACTCGCAGGAAGCCCGAAGCTTCAATCAAAGAGGCTCTCGAACCCCTCGCAAATCCTGACCCCTTCGCGCGCGGAACGAAAGCCGACCCAAACCCTGTGAAACTCACATGTGCAAAGCCCTGAAACAGTTGAGGCTGATATCCGCCGGACGATGGACAGAGTCTTTTCCCGAACCAAGCAGCTTGGACAGGTCCAGGCTCATGGGCCTTTAACGATTTCCTGGGGTTGGGTTTCAGCAAGCCTAGACCCTAAACTCCCAAATTCCTAAACCATGAACCCTTTCAGTGCCTGGAAGTGGCATTGGCATGGTGGACTTTTCAACAGTCTCACGGCAAAAAGCCTCCAACCGACGTGATTCATTACATTAACATGACGACAGAGAACCCGATTGAGGTTTCCAGGCTTTAGTATTTAGGTCTATTTGGGTTTAGGGTTTGTTGTTCTGCGTTTCAGGCTTTAGGGAATAATCTATCAAACCCCTCTCCCCTTCGAGCCGGCATTCGGGGAGAGGTCAGGAAGGCAAGGTGCTTTTTGGCATCAAGACGCTGTGGTATTGAGGGTTTGGTGTGCGGTGGCCTTAGGCGGAAAAAGGAGCCCAAGAAAAACAAAGGCACAAACCCTGAAGCCTCAAAGCCTTTCCGGAGAGGGCGAATCCTTTCGAGCCAAGGCACCGATTTCTTTCTGAAGTGCCGTGTGTCTCAGGACCTGGCGCCGTAATATATCATAAGGACCGTTAGAAGGGTCGGGGGCAGCGGGCAGGGGGGCCTTAATACCTGTAACAAGGACTTGATGAGGCCTATTTAAGGAAGTGTGGTCCCCTACCCGCCTCCCCCTTACCTCCCTAAGGGTCCCCATGAATATAGGGGTCGGAACAATCACTTGTAATAGGGCCCCCTGAAAGTCCCACTAAGGTTGGAGCCCTTTCGGGTTTTTGGTGGTTTAAGCGCCTTGGATTGGAGTGGGTGGCTCACAGCTTAGGAATGTGTGTAGAATTCAGGGGGTTCTAAGGTTTATGCTTCTAGGATGCTTAGGGTTTAGTGAAGTTTAGTGGGTAAACCTTATTCGGAGGTTGTATAGTACATAGCTGTTTGTTTGCAGGGCTGGAACCTGTTAAGTTGGCCTTTCAATTTGGTAGCTGTGAACCCAACTCTATTCAATCCCTATAATATCCAGAACCACAGCAAGACACCCCACAAACCCTAAACCCTTCAGCGCCTGTGTCGCTGTTCCTCGAACATGAGGGTGTGTGTTCAAGGTGCGAGGATTAGGGCTGGGCGCTTTCGGTTTACAGTGCCGGAGTTGACGTGTGAGGCTGTGGTGTTCGAGGCGTTTTGAAAGCGTTCAGAGTTAAGACATCAACAGCGTCTGTAGGCTTGCAGAATAGAACAGTGAGCTGCTGCCCAGTCCATCCGAATATATGCAACACCTCAAAACCTTTAGACCTCGAACTTCCACCGAAAGCCCCTTTTTTAAAGATGGTGAAACAGGAGCTCACCCCCGATGCTCTCCTTGAAGAATTCGGCGACTGCGACCTTGTGCCCACACTTCATTCAAGATGACAGCTTGTTCTGTTGTCACCTGATGCCAGTTACTGCTGCTCATTGCCTTTGGCGGAACCCCATCTGTTTGTGTTTCTGGAAATTTGTTACTATCTATTTGTTTGGTTGTTTCGTGTTGATGGCCATTGACTTGCACCACAGTTCATAGTCATAGTGTTTGGTGTGTTGCAAAGCTCGAGCGCCATTTTGCACGTCTTGTACATGCTGCTGATAATGATGATGGTGATGATAGTCATGTTGATGCCGGTGATGATGGTGACGATGACCACATTGGTAATGGTGCCGGGTGTGATGGTGGCGACGCGGTTGTGAATTGTGCCGTATGCATGGGGTCATCAGCACCACAATCGTCATGAACAGCCAGCAACAGCATCGAATGATTATCGTCAGCCGACGTCATCTTCTTCATCACAACCTATGCCAACATGTTCATCGTTTCATTGCCGTGGTACGTGGTCATCATCATCAGCCGTCATACCCCCGCAGCATCACCAAGATCCCTAGCAAGAACGTCATCATCGTCGTCGCCACCATCATCATCAGCAGCAGCAACAGCACCATTAGCACCACCATCAATGTCAACTTCAACAGCTTCGGCACAATCACCATCATCCTCCTCACCCTTACATGTCTTTCTGTCCGCCGTCGATATCACCACCACCATCGCTGGTCATGATCACGAAGACTGTTTGCGTCCACAAGCTTAGGAGTTGGTGAGGGGCTAAGCAAGGGAAGAGAAAACGGCTCCAGCAAGGTTCGGGAGTTCAGGGTTCAGGGCTGGCACGTGAGACTGCACGTCGATACTTAAGTGGCGCTTGCGTTTGAGGTTTCATGGGCTCGGAATCTACAACAGTCCAGACTCGGTGCATTTCAGGGCAACAAGAAGGTTTATACATCGGACTGGGCTAGACGCGGAGCATAGACTGACAACAGGACCGGCAGAAGGTAGGTCTGCAAGATCAAGAGCGTGCACCAACCAAGCTTTACTTGGCTGGGTTTTTCATCTGCCTGCAAGTGCTTTTGCGGTGTCCGCACCACACCCGAAGACCTAGGCGACCGGGCACAGACCTCCGCCGACACGGGGTCAGGGACTGGTTGCCATTGACACCGAGGGGAAGGGGTTTCGAGGAAGTGTCGGCCCATCTTTCTTCCGCCTGCTCCAACGGACGGGGCAGCCGATGGCCTTTATTCAAGCTGCAACAAAGGAGGTCGCGGCAGGGCGGGCGGAAAGGGGACCCGTACAAACACACCCTGACGGGTCAGGTAAATGGGAGTTTCCGGAAATAGGGGACCCTAATATAGCACCCTAAATATTAGGATCCCTACTATAAGGAGCCCAAAATAAGGTACCCCTATTTTCGGAAACTCCCAAATGAATGTTGGAGGAGGTCCAGAGGTGGCGGGCAGGAGCTTGGGCGAGAGACCCCAGGCTGGGCAGGTCGAAGAAAGACCGGAGAGAGAACCAGGCAGAAAAGACCCCAACTAGGATGCCCAGTAGTACCCTTATTCCCTTTTTGTAGTCCTAGGTTCCTTATAAAGTGACCCAATTCCAAAAAGAGAGGCCTTTTTATTCTTAGGTTACTGGGTATCCTAGCCAAAACAAGGTGGTAAAAAAAAGGCAACAACAACAAGCCCCTCTTCTCTTATGAAGCAACAACAATCCTCAGGCCCTGAACTCTGAATCCCATACCCTGAAAGCCTAACCCTAGTAGCTCTAACCAGGTCAGTGCTGAGGAGGAGGGGGCGCAAAAGAGTGATGGGTTTTTGCCCATTTTGGAATCGGAACTCCAACGCTCAACCCTTTACATATGGATAGTTTTCTAACTTCGGGTCTTTGGGGGTGTCATTTTTCTTAGGGTGCCGTACTATACCTGGGCCTAGAAAGGGACCCGAACTGAGAGATCTACACATATGTTAATCTTGTATCCGCTGAACGTCATGGACAGCTGCAGGTGAAGCTGCATTTTCCGAAGTTGGATGGTTTAACCCGCGCCCTGGCAGCGAAAAGCTAGTAAGCACGTGGACGGCACTTAAGTTCTAGAGGGTTGGAATACCAGGTGATATAGGGGCTTAAATAATGACAAATACTATTTTGGGGGTTCCCGATTACAATTAGAGCATAAGCTGCCCCTAAGTAGTATCCCTTGTAGATCCATTATAGAACCCCTTCTAGGCCCTGTTTAAAGGAGCCCTATTCGAATTTTTTAAGGCCCCGATACCCTCCTAATTGGATTAGAAGATAGCCCAAAGCCTTACTCCAACTCTTGAGGTCCCTCTACTTATCCTAGGATGCCCCGTAGTACCCTTAGGGATCTATAAGGGTTCCTTAAAGGGATCTATAAGGGTTCTATAAAGGGTTTAGGGTTTCCGAAAATTAGGGGCTAGGATGCCCAGTAGTACCCTTATTCCCTTTTTGCAGTCCTAGGTTCCTTATAAAGTTACCCAATACCAAAAAGAGGGGCCTTTTTGTTCTTAGGTTTCTGGGTATCCTAGTAACTAAGGGGCCCGACTCTGCGGCACAGTTGGGCTTGTGCTGTGGATGTGAGGGATCGGGGCAGTTTGGAGTGTACGAATTTGGTTTCGAGTTTTTGGTTTGGCCTCCGGGGTAGACGGGGGGGGCCCGGGGCTCGGAGTTAAGGCACAGCTCGAGTACATGCACGGATTCAGGGCAGACTGCGGTAAGAAGAAAAAATAAAAGCAACAAAGCGCACACACACACACACACACACGGAGACATCTTTGTCCCTGCTCTTGAACCCAGCCGCCTCTTGTCAAAATGAGAAACGAAGAACCCAGGCACCGCTCAGGCATTTCTGCAGTTTCGAGATGCTTCCGCACGGCGTCGGGCACATGCGAAGAACGAGAAGCCACCCGACCGCAAGGAGGCGCTATAATACAGAGGCCCCAGTAATTACCTCTACTATTTTGGGGTTCCTTATTATAGTTATAGTAGAATGGCACAAGAACCCTATTCTAATTATTGCAGCCCCTATATTATAGAAACCGGGGCTAACAGAAATAAATGCTCCCTTAGACTCGCCAACCAAGGATGTATACTATATATATGCATATTTCCCGAAGCCCTCCACCTTGAACGCTCAACCCTAAACCCTCAACCCAAGCCTCGGAAAGACTCGACCCTATTCTCGGTGTTGCGGCCCGTAAAGTCTCGTTTGAATGTTTCGTATTCCAGGCGCAGACATGGGGGTTACAGTGAACCCCAGAAAGTTGGAACATGAGTTTAGGATGATTAGTGCTGGGATTCCCTCTACCTTGCCTAAGGGATAATGATGTTCGAACGTTCTGGCTTCTACTGTAGGGTTTCGGGGTCTTAGGATCTCAGATTTTGGGGTTAGGACTGGGATTTTTCGACAGGGTCGGGGTTTAATATCGGGGCCCGAGCAACCAATACTGTTTGGGGGGTTCCTGATCATAGATATAGTAGAATGGGCCCCAAGACCCTATGATTATTATTAAGGCCCCTCTATTGCAGAAATCGAAGGTACCTCCTCGACTGCCAGCTTCAGCTCTTCTCCAGCACCACTGCTGCATTCGAGACTTGTAGCCTGCTATTCAACGGTTTAGGGTTTAAGGTTGAGGGTTTCGGGTTTAAGGTTGAGGGTTTACAGTTTAAGGTTGAGGGTTGAGGGTTTGTGTTCAGGCCACAAAGCTGGTGAATTGTAGATTATGGGCTCAAGCGAAGGCTTTGAGCTGTTGGTTGGATGAGCGCCGGCACTTACTTTAAGTGCTCGGGATTGTGGGCCTGACCTCTCTTGGCCAACGGCTCAGATGCAGGGTTCCGGGAGTTTGGACCCTTTTCAGGCCCTCTAATATGATTTCTGTATCAAAGTCCCTAAACAGGTAGGTTATGACAATTACGATTATTATTACTATTATTATAACTATTATTATTACTATTATTACTATTATTATTACTATTATTTGGGGTTAAGGTAGGGTTTGTGGGCAACCGCGATCGCAAGCCCGCCGTGGCTTGTTTTCCAGATGCAGAGGTTACCCGCGTTCCTGAATCAACGGGGTTGATCGCAGACTGACCTTTAGGTCATCCACAAGGGCCCTTCCCCGGGTTTAAACTGAAAGACCTAAAACCTAAAAGACGTCGAACACCTGAGACGTGCTGCGGCTAAACATCCAGGAGGGCTTTCAGCAAGGAAGTCAGTATTCGTGAAAAAGCAAATAGTGTAGTTGAAGTATAGCAGGAGAGTATCCCAAGATCTCAATCTGCGGTGTTTACCCGATCACGGATCGCCTGGTTGGAAGCATGGCGCGAAGTTGAATACTGCAAACATTTTACACCATGTCTTTTTTCAGTATCATTAAAACCAGAGTAGATACGCCAAAACTTCTATACGCCCTACCTTAACCCCAAACAACCTACCTTTTTGGGGACTTGTATAAAGAAATCATATTAGGGGGGCCTTAAAAAGGTAGGTTCCTTAGGGTCCAGGTAAACCCCGAAGTAAATTCGTCTCTGTTCCGGCCTGCGCCTGAAGGTACGCGGCACGGCTTCTCCGAGGCGGCTGCGCGCCGGGACTTCGTGAGCTTCGATGCGGTGCTTTGGGCCTAAGATTTCAGGGACCCGGGTTTAGGGTCTAGGTTTAGGCTAGGTTTAGGGTTTATAGGGTTTAGGTCAATAGAAATTGTTAAGGGTTTAGGTGCCACTAAGGTTTGAGCGAAACGTTTTGAGCAAAATCGTTTTTTTGTTTTAGTCCCGGGGATCGGTCCACCGGGGGCTGGGCTGCAGCTGTGGTCTGGGCCGGGCTAGGCTTGGGCTACGTGTGGGCGGCGGCTGGGCCGG